CCCTCCTCATCACCCTTGCAGATGCTGGGCACCTGGCAACCCCTCCCTCTTATTAGGAGAGCCTTCCCAAAGCAGAAGTAGCATATTGCCCTCCAGGGCTTAGATTCATAGTTAGGAAACTGCCTTGTATTTCTATATTTTTCTAACTGATACAGGTGCCACCTGCATCAGTTCTTCATACTGTTGCACTGTCAAATCCGATAACTACAGCCAGTTTCAGCCTCCTATCAGGGCCTGGACAACATGCCGCCTCAGAACTCGTTCAACAGACCGCACAAACTCTTGACAACCCTAGCCTCAGCCATGAATCCCCACAGCACCCAGAAAGTGCATTTGATGTCGTCTATCCTGACAACAACAATGATGACAATGACGACAATGATGACAACGACTGGATGTCAACCCAAGCTGTGCATTCCTCATCCCCTCCCCTTCTTGAAAGCTCTTCGCCATCATTGGGAGATGACAATAGCTCCCTGCTGTCATCACCGTCACCTCTACGGCCGCTCGTTCGCCATGAAACAGAGATGGTACCCCTCCCAACACGAATCAATGGAATATGGAAGAAACCCTCCTGTGACAGCTCACCTGATAGCAATGACAGTTTCAGCCACTCAGAACACGCCAACCTTGAAGCCACATTTCAAGCTGTGCTCAGCGCTGTCAATGGACCCTATGAGCTGCTGCATAATCTTACTAACCGACTTCTTGACAGGATGAAGATTCATTCCATGAAGATCCCTCATGCCAACCCTCGCTCTCATGCTGACTGGCACAACTTTATATATCCCTACCTCTTCGACGAGATATTCCCATATACACCAACCTTGGACTTGCTTAAGGAAAAGATTGAAGACCATGGAAATGGATGACGCCTCCTCAATCGTTGGGAGCCCGAGATTTCCTTGCTCTTAGAAACATGTCGCCTTGTTGACCACCTCATTGAGTCTTTTCACCACTTCTTTGTATACTTGGGATATCCTTATGGCTTGCGAGAGCTTGCCCTGCATATCATTCTTTCTCATGCTGGGCCCTCTTATCCTTACTGCTCACTCCTTAATGAACACGAGGCAAGCTACTTCGACATCGCAGCTGACATTTTTTTTATCCTCGGCGAACGAGAGATCACAGAGATTCTGTACAACATCCTCCATACTTGCCTTCAGGTTCCACATGACCTTGACCTTCTCCTTATCCATGCTCTCAACCCTGTCGTCCCACCCAACTATCGTTATCAGCTACCATTTCAACTTTACCCTTTTCGTCTCGATGATTAGTGGTAAATACCTTTACTTTCTTTGCTCATTGTTACTGATGGGGTGTTTCTTCAGATCATCTGAGTTCACTGTGTCATTCTTTCCGATGATTTTTTATTTTATGTTACTTCCTTCATCATCACCTGGCCGATCTACCCTTTTCTTTAAGTTTTCATTTCTTATTTATAGTTACTTGAACTTACGATTTTTATTTTTTACCCAACCTGGAGTTGACCGTTTATTTGAGCTTAGTCGATTATCCTTTCCTATATATAGAAAACCTCAAGCTCCTGTATACCCTTTGAAGGCTTTCTTAGCCAGTAGTACTGTCTTGGAGCCATCGAAATATAACCCAAGGACTCGGAAACTTGTCTTGTGTGACATTCAGCTCAATACTTCAAAGACAAAGTCAATCAAGTTCCCTGCGTCGTCCCAGTCATACTATTACTGCAACAATCTGCCCAAGTCAAAATTGATCGAGTTCCCTGTGTGGCCTGATGAAGCAATGAATCTGGACACCTTACATGAAACATCTGTTGCTGAGGAAGAGTTCTTAGACTCAGAAGACGAATTCATAATTGAAGCAACTCATGAGTCACATTTTGTCTTCACTGCTTATAAGAGAGTAGACAAGATTCACCCAGTCTCAACATCATTTCCGACCGATTGCCAAGTCATACGGCAAATTCCTGAAGATCCCCTTTTGATGCTTCCTGAATTACCCACTCAGCCACCTGAATTTGAACCTACAGCAAAAATTAGTAAGGAGCGCATGGATGAGCTTAACATTAATTCTCAAGGATTTCTTTGGCCCGAAGAAGAGAAACTGTTTAAGCATATTATGAAGCTTAATGAGAGAGGGATCACTTTCATTGACGAAGAGAGTGGAACTCTGAAGGAATCATACTTTTCACCTTATATTATTCCCACTGTTCTGCATGTCCCTTGGGAGTACAAGAACATCCCTATACCCCCAGGTTTGCTCCCAAAAGTTTTAGATGTCCTCAAGCTAAAGATGAAAGCTGGAATATATGAGCAAAGCCAATCCTCGTATCGATCGTGTTGGTTTGTAGTCCTGAAAAAGAATGGAAAGCTTCAAATTGTACATGATCTTCAGCCATTAAATAAGGTAGCCATCTGAGATGCAGGAATGTTACCTATTGTCAATGACTTTGTCAAAGGATTTGCGGGACGCCAGTGCTATACAGTGTTTGATCTATTTTGGGGTTTTGATGCCTGGAAGATCCATCCTCGGAGCCGTGATCTGACAGCCTTTATGACACCGCTTGGACTTCTACAGATTACCTCATTGCCGATGGGATACACTAACTCACTGGCAGAATTTCAGAAGTGCATGGTAATTGTGCTACAGGACGAGATACCCGAGAAAGCGAATATCTTTATTGACGATCTGCCTATCAAAGGACCTGATACTCAGTACCTTGATAGCAACGGTGAACCGGAAGCACTTAAAGACAACCCTGGCATTCAACAATTTATCTGGGAACATGCTCAAGACGTGCATCGAATAATGCATCGCATACATTCAGCTGGTGCAACCTTTGCTGCAAACAAAGCCCAAATATGCCTGCCTGAAGTACTGATTGTTGGACAGCATTGTAATACTCTTGGACGCGAGCCAGACACAGCCAAGACTGACAAGATAATGAAGTGGCCACCCTTAACAACACCAAAGGAAGTACACCAATTCCTAGGTCTATGTGGAACAGTCCGAATTTGGATACCCAGTTACTCAAAAATCATCAAGCCCCTCACCGAATTATACTATAAGGATAAAAAATTTATTTGGGATGAACGCCAACAGGCCGCCTTTGAACAAATCAAGACTCTTGTGACTTCAGCACCAGCATTACACCCAATCGATTACAGTTCTGATCATCCAGTCATTCTATCAGTTGATTCCAGTTATGAAGCCATCGGAATGATACTGTCACAATTGGATGACAAAGGACATAAACGCCCAGCACACTACGGATCACTTAGAATGAGTGAGGTAGAATCATGCTACTCACAGCCAAAATTAGAACTATTTGGACTTTATCGCGCACTTCAACATTGGAGACTGTATCTCATAGGAGTCAAAATATTGCATGTTGAGGTCGATGCTCAGTATATCAAGGGAATGTTAAATGACCCTGACTTACAGCCAAGATCTGCAATAAATCGATGGATACAAGGAATCTTGATGTTTGACTTCAAGCTTATTCACATACCTGCCGAGCGCCACCGTGGACCTGATGCACTCTCACGCCACCCACCCACCGACTCCGACATGGCCGAAGATGATGATGATGCTTGGCTTGACGATATTGCATTGCTGACCTTAATTCCATCACGAACACTTGAACCATTTGACATGGAAAAGCCAGCCTCTTGTGAAGAAGCCAAAAATCTGCTACCCTCCTGTTTTGCTACATGACTAGCCCAGCAGCAGATGATACAAGATGTACAGAAGTTCCTTGAGACCCTAGAAACACCAATCATTCCAGACACTCAGAAGAAATGTAGATTCCTTGCTAAAGCAACCGAATTCTACATCAAAGACAAGCGAATGTATAAGCGAAATGGAGATCGCCCCCCATTGCTTGTTGTCACCAAGCCTGAACAGAAGCTGTTGATTCTCACACAAGCGCATGAGAACCTTGGACATCGGGGATTCCAATCTGTATTCGAAACACTCCGCCGACGATTCTTCTGGCCTTATATGCGCGCTGATGTCTATCATCATGTTAAATCATGCCACCAATGCCAGCTACGAAACCTCAAGAGACTTGAACTTCCATTGACCATATCAGTTCCTGTCACCCTATTTGCGAAAATCTATATAGATGTCATGCATATGCCAGAAGCAAATGGATATCGTTGGATAGTAGCAGCCAGAGATGATTTGTCAGGCACATGTGAGGCCCAACCCCTCCATGACCATGATTCGCCAATACTATCCAGATTCTTCTGGGAATACATTTATTGTCAATATGGAGCCCTGCAACTGGTGATCACTGATAATGGATCTGAAGTCCGAGGAGCATTCACATCACTGCTCGACTGCATGAAGCTGCCCTGAGTACGTATTCAAACATACAATCACCATGCAAATGGAGTTGTGGAGCATGGACACTTTACCATGAGAGAAGCCATCATCAAAGCATGCAAAAATAAGATTGGAGAATGGCCAGACAATGTCGCAGCTGCAGTATTCGCTGATAGAGTGACCATCAGCAAGGTTACAGGATTCTCTCCTTTCCAGCTTCTTCATGCCACAGACCCTGTGTTGCCGTTAGACCTTGCCGAAGCTACTTTTATGATTCAAGGATTTCAGCCAGATATGCCTACCAGTGACTCACTAGCATTGCGAATTCGACAGATGACCAAGTATCCACAAGATATTGTGCATGCAGCAGAGACATTGAAGAAAGCACGATTCACTTCAAAAGATCAGTTTGAGCGTCGCTTCCATAAGCGGATGAGCCAATACAAGTTTAAAGTCGGTGACATGGTCCTAATATGCAATGATCAGTATCACATTCAGCATGATCACAAGACACACGAATGTTATCTAGGACCCTATCTCCTCACAGCCCGTTCAGCGTCAGGAGGTTTTGAAGCCAAGGAATGTAATAATGCAAAAATGGAGAAGAGAATTCATGCTGGCAGGCTAGTCCCATACATCACCAGGAATCATGCCTTCATGCAGGATCACAGCAGTGATGATGACTGAAGAGCAAGAGGCCAATATAGATCCCGATGAAGACTTGAATTCAGAAATCTCATGTACACATCTAAAACAGGAAGTAAATCCAGAAGCCAGTTCTAGGAGTCGGCCGAAGATGCGCCCCATTTTTGATGGCCATCACATCAATGTCAATGAATAGACTTTGATTGTGAAAGGTCGGCCACTGTCTACGCTTTCTTCTTTCCCCAACACTACCACCTCTACCACTACTCAGACCAAATCTTCGCTATGCCTAACACCTCCTTTGCTGCTCTTTTCCAATTTGCACACATCACACTTGCTCAGGCTCATGTCCTACCACCTACACCTCCCCCCTCTGAAAATTCCAGCGCTGCCAGCAGCGTCATCTTCCAAACCTTTAGCCACTCTTCTAATGACGACAGTGATAACAACACCCAAATTGAAGTCAGCAGCGTGCGTATCGATTATGAAGAGTTGGAGCGCCAAGCAACTTTCATTCAATTTGAAATATCTCAACTGGCCTGCAATTGTTTTCACATGCCACCAACATCTTGCAGCCATTGACCAGCAAACTACGCTAAACTGTCACTTGCAGTCAAATGGGTATCCCCATATACCTTCACCTCAACAGACTTCGACATTATCCTACACCTCAAGATTCTGTATGTCAATCATTTGGATATCCACCACTCAGAAGAACCTGGACGCTATTATGGCACTGCTGGCACCTACAACCTTAATACAAGCAGCTTCCATCAGAAGGAGAAGCCCATTATTTGCCGAGGGACACCATTGGAGTTTATGAATGTATGCAGCGCCAACATTTGCTATATTGTCATGCGAAACTGAGAAGTTCAGGGAGAATACGCTGCTATTGAGGCAGTTGCATTCTTGCTGGATGGAACAGGCTATTTCAAATGCCAAAGTGATACTTGGCCACCAATTGTCATCGAAGTTGCAGTGGCATTTGTCGATCCAAAGTTTGTTCCTATTAAACTTCCTGTTTCAATTTGTCACACTATTTCCACCTTCCGCTATGCTACTCACTGTCTCATCTGTGCCTAATTCCTTTCTACGCATTCCTTTATACTGTTCAACTCATTCCTGCGTCTATTATGAAACCACCTTTTTCCTATATCCATTGATCTTCCTCCCTGTGATAGGTCCTGTTCACTGTCATTTACATTACATGCTTGTGTTGATGCTCCTTGCTTTCGCTGATATGTTCTGCTGTTGTCGATCTTGTTGAAAAGTCACATAGAATGGTGGACACCTTGTAGTTATTTGTCGTCATTTATTAAGCATGCTATCTTGCTTTAACACTCAGTTCGATCGTTCATCAAAGAAAAAAAAAAAAAAAAAAAAAAAAAACCGAGGGCGGTTGAGAAATCAGTTCCCTGCAAATATGTCAGACTCAAAATATGTTTTGATAAAAGATCGAACTAAGTTGACATCATTACAAGTTGGAAAGTTCACATGAAATGTGGTCATCCCTTTACCAATCAATCACTCGTCCATTTCATCTCTTATAAGCAACATTAGTCAAGATTATTGGTACACTGCGTAGGCACCAATTGCGCTGAATAACCAATGGAGCTATCATCTCAAGGATCTATAAGCGTGAACAATGATGAATAATGAGTAGAGTTATCACCTCAGGAGAAACATAAGCACTTGACAGAAGCTGAGTAAGGTGGTAAGTAATTACTAGAGAAACTAAGGAATTGCATGAGTAAGCACTCAGAATCATGAGTCAGATGTGAGATAGCATCTCAGTATTATTCTATAATTAGCAGTAGTCTTAGTCAGTACGCCACTATTTCCTTATTTAGAATGCCTCTCTGAAGAGTATATAAGGGCCTGTAACTAGCTAGGAAAAATATATACAACAACCCAGAAGTTTTACTGCTATCATTGTTTTTGCGTGCCTAAGTTTTGCCTGAACATCTGACAATCTCAGCTGTCTATCGTCACTAGCAAGCAACATAATCAGTTGTTCAAGCTAGTCTAGTCTGCCTTCTCATAACTAGTTCGCAACGTAACCAGTCATTCACACTAGTTTTAGTCTCGCCCGTCATTGTCTTGCAGCTAGCACACAACATAACCAGTCGTTCACGCTAGTCTAAGCAATTTCTGCTCCCGTCCTGTTAATTCTTGATTGAGTAGTGTTCAATAGTCTTCACCGACTAAGCTGCCAATCAAGCAAATATTTCGTACCAGTCAAGTCTAAGTCTACTAACAAGCCCAAGTATTTATTCAGTCTCATCCTTTTCGTGAAACTAAGGGTAAAGCTTGATTACAGCTGTTCCGGAAAGTAATGGGATTCCGTCATTTTTTTTTCCAAGTTCTCTAAATAGAAATCGTGTAAATTCCTAATTGAGAGGCTTGTGACGGTGTGACCACAGCGGCTCACACTCCTCCTAAACGTCGTCTACGGTGATGGTCAACCGAAGAATCAGCGCGGACCTCAAAGAATGTGCTCTTAGGCTTTGGGAGATTGGATGGGACATACCATTGATTGTTGAATGCTTATGTGTCTCTCGGACAAGCCTTTACCAATGGCGTGCAATCTTCTCGGAGCTCCAGACTGTCAACCGCCCTCGTTCTCCCATTATTGGTCACCCGAGGATCATTGTTCGTGCTGTTCTCACTGCTATCCAGGAGGTGTATCACAATGAGGCTGACATCTATCTTGATGAGCTTATCTGGTGGCTTGCTATCAACCACAACATTGCAATCTCCTGGAGCACACTCCACAAAAACCTGCAAGATGCTGGCCTCACGAGAAAGCTGCTGCACAAAATTGCAAAGGAACGGGATGAAGAGGTCTGGGCAGAGTTCATGGAGGTCATCCATGACCACTCTGCAGGCACTGGCAATGAATTTCTGTTCATCAACGAAATGAGCAAGAATGATCACGATACAGCTCAGCATTATGGACTTGCACTTTCTGGACAATGAGCTGACTTCATCGACAACTTTGTTTGTGGAGATAGGTACTCTATGGTTGCTGCCATGTCAACAGAAGGTTATATTTCTACACACGTTGTCCCTGGCTCTTTCAATGCAGATGAATTCCGTGATTACATTGTTGAGCAAGTGGTATGTCGTTCCAGTGCAACTTCTATCCTTTTTTCGAGTGTCTTTTGATCTTACCACCATTCAGCTCCCTGAAACAAACCCATATCCAGGAAGACAAAGTATCCTGATCATGGACAACTGTCAAATTCACCACAATATTGAGCTTGTTGACGTTGTCAATGCTGCTGGTACTTTTACTCAATCCCAACACAGCTGCACAAATAACATCTTTTTAGGTTGCCTGCTTATTTATCTCCCCCCGTACTCCCCTGATCTCAACCCGATAGAGGAATCATTCAGCTCATGTGGGTGATCAGAGTCATATCATGATCATGTTCTTCAGTCTGATCCTGACACAGTAAAGCCCTTTCTTCGTCATTACGGGTTTGACATTAGAGCCCATGAAAACCCAGAGCTTGTGTTGGTAGAGGCCTGTGGATGTATCACACAGGAAAAGGCTCTTCAATGGTTTCGCCATGCAGGATACATCTGGAATCCGTAATGTATTGCAACAAGAGACAGCTACTGTATAATATTTATAATTGAGTTTGAATCATCGCAAAGGTATTCTAAAGTTTGGAGACAAGTGTGGTAACAGACAGAGACGAGAAGCTGAAGACTACAGATACAGAGAGGTCATGCAGGGGGACGTAAGGGCAAAAACACAGTATACACATGCACTGGAAGCCAAGAATGATTTGAGAAGGAAACATGAATGCAACAAAAGCAGTAACACAACAGAAGGCATGAGAATACCTTAGACCCAGCTTCCAGCCTTGATATCACGGACAAAGACCTTGTGTTTGGACAGGACATCCTCCCAGGCAAGCTTCGAAAACCCTGCATGTCCTTGCCAGTCTTTGTGTTCAAGCTTTTCGATATGGCGATCTCCAGGTTGATATTGGAGAACCGCCAAGCGACATTGGTCATCCTCCTCAACCTCATAATGTTTGCAAAATTCACCCAACGAGACAGGACAAGTCAGCGTTATCTTGAGAGGTGATCCTGGAGCAGAACCACCCCCCTCAGCTGGACATGTGCTGGGCCCTGCAGTGGGAACTGGAGTTTGAGATCGGACAGCATGGAAGAGGTGGTTGTGAGGGTTCAGGTCATGTGGTTGTGGTGGCGGATATTGCGAATATGGGTATGGAGGATAGAATGGATAAGGGGGGTAGCTGTACAGCATTTGAGGCATTTGAGGTTGAGTGGCACCAATGGGGGGCACGCCAGAGGTGACTGTAGCGGTTGATGCAGGTGTTGTCACCGGCGCATGAAGCTTTTGGGATTTGGAAAAGTGGGTGCTGACTGGCGGGGCGTCAAGAGTCGCTGTAGGTGGGTCAGCCATCTAGATTACCAAGGCCATCAGCACAAAGTGAGGGCAAGATTATCAAACACTCATACCAGATGCATAGCCCAAACCTGGAGACGTAAATCATTCAACTCCCATGAACAACCATCTGCGGTGTAAACCCTTTTGGTTGGGTATAATGGATTAGATCCCACTGGATATAGCTGCCGAAGCTGTTCAATGACTCCGGTGTTAGCGTGGCCAATGACGGCCTAGCATTATTGTCAGTAAGTGTGACATGAGCAAATACAATGGAGACGCACCTTCTGTTCTCGGACAGACGATCCAATTGACCCATCCTGAAGCTCCTCCTCATCACTGTCTCCATGCTCTCCAGTATGTGCAGAAGAGGTAGCAGAGGTCTATGGGGCGCTGAGGAAACAGAGATGAAGGGGAAAGTAATGAAGAACTCACAGACGGAATGTTCTTCAAAAGCGGCGGCAAGATAATAGTGATTGTCACATCCTTTTTTTTGTTGAGTAGTGCAGCAACCTTCAAGATGAGGGCCCGATACCCCTGCACATTTGCCAGAGGTTTCTTCTTGTTGTTAGCAGGGACATTCAGTTTCCAGAAAAGCTGCGACTGGTTGATTGCATTGATAGAAGGAACATGAGTGCCACTTGCAGCACAGGCAACAACGGACTGAAGGAATTCATTGTGGGATGTCTCAACAGTGAAGAAGAAAGGGCCACGGGTGGTCGATGATGAGCTGGACCGCCCCCTGACCCCGGTAAATCCCTTTTTTCGACCTTTGTCATTGCATTCCCGCCATTCCCTCGATCCCTGATGCCTTTCCCATAGAGCCATATGGTTCCTCGACACACCTGGAGATCCTCAGTCAGCAAAAGCATCCATCCCATGACCAGCACCACCTCTTTCCCTCTCTTTCCCGTTTCACCAAGACGCTCGGCGTGCCACCCTTTCCTTGTTAGGTAGCCTTTTCCCCCATCAATCAGTTGCTGCCTTGCTGCCTCTCCCCTATTCCATTCCTGTTTCATTCTTATCTGAAATTTTCTGTTTTTCTTTCTTCCTTCACCCACGGCTCAGATATCTTCCTTGCCGGGCTCTTCTTTCTCCATAGATATAATCCATGTCTACACACTCACACAATATAGAGAATTTAGTTCGTTTTTCCATCTCTCACCTCCCTCGTTCCTTGCTCTCTCACTCGTATTCTGGAGGCGCCGTTGCCTCATTCGTCCCGTTCCCATGCTTAGCGCCTGCATTCGCCATCCGTCTTCAAGTCGCGTGCGCCCACTGGTTAGAGCTGCACAACCACGGAACTGTCCTCGCACCTCAGAGCCACTCATTGCGGTGTTTTGGGTGTGTGATATTCATTCATTATTCGCACGATCACCCCACCGTAGGCACATCATATTGGAGCCCACCGCGAGGGGTTCCACATTCATCTTGCGCCTTCTAACTTTCGCCGCCGACTTCGACACGACATCGTCCACTCATTCGACATCCCCATTTCTGTCAGCACAACCTCCCCTTTTTCATTCACTCGATCGCATCACATTTCTATCTCATCCCATCAGTCCGTCGCACAGCTTTCCACTCCGCCCAACTTCCAACTCCCCGCACGCCTTTTCCACCATCATGTCAACCCAACCCCCAATTTATATGCCACCCCGTGGTGACGAAATGGCACCAATGTTTGACCCATCGAAGCCTCGAGAGCTCCAGTGCTATTTTCGTGACCTCAAGTTTCTTTTTGACCACGCCCAAGTCACAGACCACACCGCACGCAAGAAACACGCCATCCGTTATGTTGATATTGACATCGCCAACCTGTGGGAGTGCATTATCGAATTCTCGAGCACCGATGCCACCTACGATGAGTTCAAGACCACCATAATCAAGCTGTACCCCGAGGCCAACGAAAACTTCAAGTTCACGCTCTCGGACATGGATTGCACTGTCGACAGCTGCCTTCGCCTTGGGATCCACTCGCTCAATGATCTCTCCGACTACCACCGTGAATTCACAGCCGTTACGACCTTTCTTGTCACCAAAGGACGCCTTGCCACAATGGAGCAAGAACATGCATTTGCTCGAGGATTCCAGCCTATTTTTGGTCACTCGTTGCTCGACACCTGCAGATCAAGGACCCAGATCACTTCCCAGATACGCCATACACCATCAAGAATGTTATGGACGCCGCGCGATTCATCCTTCGAGGATTTTCTGCCACTATTCCGTCGCCCTCAGCCACAGCAATGACTACGATGACTTCTCTGCCACCAGACTCTGTCAAACTCGAAGCTCTCGGTCCCGTCTTCTCAGAACTCACCAAGACAATCATCGGAGCCTTTCAGCAGTCAAACCAGCCCTGCCAGCCTCGTTCTTCGTCGTCTCCAGCCCCAGTAGCTTGCAAGTTTTGTGGAAGTGCTCATTTCATGCAGGATTGCGATCTTGTCAACAAGTACTCTCATGCTGGCAAGTGTAGGCGAAATGTCGAGGGAAAGGTTGTCCTTCCATCAGGAGCTTTCATCCCTAAGGAAATCCCCAGCCATTTACTCAAGGATCGTGTAGACAAATGGCATCATCGAAATCCGAACCAGCTCGCCACCGGCACCCTTTTCCACTCGACGACACCATCCTCTGCTCTCGAATATTCGCCCTCGTGCACTACGACTAGATCTACACATCAGACCTCGAAGAAGGATCGCATCACCACCATCAAAGCTGAGTTACTCGCCCTCTGTGCTCGACAACCGCCCAGTTTCGTGCCCACCACCCAAATGCTCGCTCAGACGCCTTGTGCCGTTTTCCAGGATGAAGGAGAAGTTTCTCCTGCCTCGCCGCCGCTTCCTGCCGCCCCTGTGCTCGCCGCTGAACAAGATATTGGTCCAGAACTCACCATTCGAGACGCACCAGACACCATCTGTGTTTACTCACAAGAAAAGACCGTCGACACCGCACTCGAGCAAGAAACGCCCAAGAAACTCGGCATCACGTATCTCATGTTACCACCCGTGAACGACATCGAATCGGTGCCCGCCAACTGCAACATTTCATTGAGTACTCCATCCGTCATCACCCTGCACGAGTTCTCGTCCCTATCCCCTGAAATTCGACCTCATAACTCCGAAACCACGACCACGAGATCCCATACAACCAAGGAGACTCGTCAACAAGCAACTGGGCTCGAAGAGAGTGCCACCACTACAACGCTGCCCAAACACGCTTCCAACTCGTTCCATATCACCCATTCAAACATTGCACTCACTTCCACTCGATATCCCAGCCCACCAGACGCATCCATCGCCAATTTCGACATATACAAGCCCTCCTATCGCACTCTCTATCCCGACGACACTCCTGATCCCAATAACCCCGTTAAATCGAAGACTTCGGCCACTCTCCATTCCTATGTCCCTCTAGACAATGAAAATCGACGCCTCGAACACCTTCTCGACCCCGGCGGTCAAAATTTTGACTCTCAGCCTTTCACTTCCCCAACAGCAATCATTCACGACAATCCGCTGCAGCAACACATGTCTCAACAACTGACGCTGCCACACACCACCATGACGCTACTGCCCTTCCCAAACAGTCAGAACGTCTCGAAGCACTTCGTTCCCAAGTGTCTGTTGCCCGCCAACAATCCGCCCCTCGAGAACGTGCCCGGACGACATGAGACTGTGCTCACATCCTTGGTACACTCATTCACTGCCATCGTGCCTAGGAATCTCTTCGTTTTAGGATACGCGCTCACTATTTCAGTCCTCACGTGGTTATTTTTAGCAGCCAAGACACTGCCCATAGCCCCAGCAAATCCGACAACACATTCTTCGACTGCCAGATCACTGCCATTCATAGTTCTGATTCTTTCCCTCATCTTTCCTTTCCTTCTCAACTTCTCAACAATGTCTTTGGCCTTTCGCACTCTCGCCTTCAAGATATTCAGATGTCAACTGCCTTTGACCCCTACAACAACTTTGATGCTGTTCACTTCGCTTTCGAAGAGTAGAAGGCACGGTTCCTATTTCAGTAGGGAGGATTGCGACCTCAGCAAATTCCCAGCTTGTCGACCTCATCCTTTCATTTCTCCTTGCTTTTCACTTTGCCAATCCGTAACCTAACTACTCGATTCTTTGATTTACCCACCTTCATGCTCAACCACAACCCCATCTCCATCATTCTTGTTCTATTTTTAGTTTCATTCATTTCTTTTTAGTTTTTTTGTTATCCTTCACATTCTACCCTCGAGATCTTGTTCATCTCTCACCATTCACGACACCATTCCGACTTCATTTCGATATGCCGCGCCGCTTCCGAGGAGTCACCCACAATTTCGACCATGAGGATCATACACGGACGAGATCATCAACAACCATTGATGGCGTGACTGGGGACAGTCATGATTTCAGTAGGGAGGAGATGATGAGCTGGACCGCTCCCTGACCCCGGTAAATCCCTTTTTTCGACCTTTGTCATTGCATTCCCGCCATTCCCTCGATCCCTGATGCCTTTCCAGAGCCATATGGTTCCTCGACACACCTGGAGATCCTCAGTCAGCAAAAGCATCCATCCCATGACCAGCACCGCCTCTTTCCCTCTCTTTCCCGTTTCACCAAGACGCTCGGCGCGCAGCCATGTCTGCTAGAAATCTATATCAGACACTGTATTTTAACAAGGTATGCTTATATGTCAGGACTGTGATTTTACAGTCCACCTATGGAGAGGGCCTTGCCGGGTGTGCCGGGGCTCGCAGCTGTGGGCAGGGCATGTCAATACATGCAAACAATGCAGGAAACAGTGCTCGGACACTGTTCCTCGTCGTTTTCGACAGGGAAAAGCTGCCAATGACAAGGAAACATATTTCCTCATCGTTGTGCACCATTTCCCCCATTGTCGGGGGGCGGGAATGGGTGGATTGGGCCAGGTGCATTTGGATGACGTGGCCTTTTTTCAGGCTCTTGTACTATTTTTAGATTATGGTGTAATTACAATGACACATCTCTTGTACAGCTCTCGCTGTTGTCTGTCACGACGTCCAGCGAGCTTGGGGGTATCTCAGCACACGAAAAAAATTATGAAAAAATCATATTAAATTGAAATAATATATCATATACATGGGGCAGGTGGCTCTACTAGCCACCCGCATGAAATAAAGAGAAAACAAGCAGAAACAGAGCGCTGTTTCTGCTCAGGGGGTACCTGGTCATCCCTGCCATGCACCTGCTGCTATGACCGTACTGTTGGCGCCATGCTCCTGTTCGCCGCCGTCCTTATTTTCGCTGCTGTGCTTGTGTCGGTGTCGTGCTTGTGTCACCGCCCTGCTCATGTTGCTGCTGCGTTCCTGTTGGCCTTTGGCACCTCCAGTTGGCCTTGCATTCGCTTCAGCGCCGTCTTGCTCGCTGTACATGGGTTGTTGTCTTCATCCGCTCCTCCTGCTCTGTGCCCGTCCTCCTGCTTCCCCCCCCTCTCATACTCCTCCCTTCCGTTCCCTGTGTTCCACCCTCTTGCTCTTGCCTGGCGGGTGGGTGCTGGCCAGGGTGAGGGGCAAAGGGCGAGGGGTGAAGTGCGAGGAGGGGCGAACGGAGAGGGGTGAGAGACAAGGCGGGTGAGACAGCGAGATCGGCGAGAGGGCAGTGCAGAGGACGAGGGGGAGGGGGAGGCAGAGGGTGGACAAGGGGCAAACGAGGGGCAAGGGAGGGGCAAACAAGGGGTGGATGAGGGGCGAGAAGGTGGGGGAGAGGGCGAGAGGTGGTGGAGAGGGTGAGAGGCGAGGTAGAGGGTGAAAGGCCGATGGAGGGGGCAGAGGGCGAGGGCGGGGGCAGAGGGCGAGGGCAAGGGCAGAGGGTGGTGAGGGTGGTGAGGGGACGAGGGGCAAGGCAGAGGACAGGGGAGCGGACGAGGGGCAAGGATGAAGGGTGCCCCTGGTCGTGCCCCCCTGCTGTCCTCGTCGTGCCCCCATCACCGTCTGCTGTCCCTCGTCCCTCGTCATTCGTCACCCGCTGTCATCGTTTGTCATTGTCGTCGTTCGTCATCATTTGTTGTTCATTGTCGTTGTCATCATCATTCATCATTCGTTGTTTGTCGGTTTTCCTCACAGTTGCCACAAGCTCCCCATATTTGTCCCTCTTCAAGGGGAGGTGTGCAGAGCGAGGGCACAGGCGGTTAGAGGTGGAAGGTGGTGGGGAGCTGAGGATGGAGCAGGCGAGAGGGGCACGAGAGGGGCGCGAGAGGCAACCCAGGGGTTTCGTGCCTCTGCCCACATCCCTATTGAAGGGGAGGGGCATGAAAGGCAAAGAAAACGAACGTCGACTTTAAGTCGACATTCGTTGACCTAATGTTGGTTTAAACGTAAATTAGAGTACATATTTATGAAGAAAATATATTACTTACCTTTTTTTGATGCTTTGAGGCGTCATTGGTGGTGGTGGACAATGAGGGTAGTCCCTAGGTGGTGGTTGAGATGAAGGATCAACCACTCTCATCGTCGTTGATGGCTCATCCAGCAGATGCCGTGAGCGATGTGATTGGCTAGCTCTGACGGGCCGGCCAGACCACGTTCTGCTTGTCGACGGCGGAATAGCTCATACACTAGAGATAGGATGAAAACTTCGTTATTTAGTATCGGTAATTAATCACAGTACTGTACTCTATGTATTAAGATAGGACTGAACATCACTTCTGAGTGAGAACCGAGCTAAACACCCAAATTACCCCCTCCACATGGTGATTTACGTCTTCCTGATGTTTCAATCTTATGAATACCACTCATTCAACGAGCTGGAATACAAAAATAACTTTGCACTTTATGTCCTGGAGGAAGTAAGTACCACATATGAAAAAATCAGCCTGTATTTCCAATGTAGATCTTATTATACGAGCCAGTGTCTGAATTTTGACACATCTCGAGTTAGTTTCATTTCAGAATCCACATCATCATTCATAGTTTCTTAGTGTACATCCTAAATTTAATAAGTTCATCAGGGGAGCTCTATTCCTCAATACTATCACAACAAGCCAGTCTATATACCATTTTTATTTATTTATTTGCCTTCTTCTCTGTCTTGGAATCTACATACAGAGGTGAGAGGCCTATAATTGGCCTGAGCCGGAGATGAATTCATTCATAAAATATTTAAATCTTGCTATATTTTGTTAAAACTACCTACATAGATGTAATTATACACTAATAACAGTTTCCGAAAGTTTGAATAAAGATATAAGGTGTGCTGCATCCATTGGAGACGTTCCGTTGGTCGACAATGGAATGGAAACGGGATCGGGCTGATAATCCCAACCAATGGGATGGGCAGCCGAATCCCGCCAAACCGCAATCAACGATGTTGAACATTGTTGATCTGGGTCTTTCTTCACCTCCTCCCTCAACCCTTCGTGACGAAACAGCCCCGAAACACAAAGAAAGGTAAGTGTATAGCTTTTCTATGTACTTGGATCCCTACTAATCAACCTCTGCCCTCTCAGAACTCCGTCCATGTCGATAACGAACCAACGAAGCCGCCCCTCCCCTCACGACAGGAATGTGGGCTTGGGCACCTCCCTGCCCATGTCTGCCTGCTTGCCCACAACCGCCCGCTCACCCGCTCGCCCACTGTCACCCTCTCGACCAGGCAGAGGATGGCAACGGTGGGACAACAATAATGGTGGGCACCACAACGACAACGATGGGCAGGACGACGACAACGGCGAGGGCAGGGCAACGATGGCGGCAACGGCAGGATGACGACGCCGGCGAGGGCAGGGTGACGACGATGGCGAAGGCAGGGCAATGACCATGGCGAAGGCAGGATGACGACAGCGGCAACAGGGGAACAACCACATGGCGGCGGGGCACGACCACAATGACAGGGGCAGCGGATGCACCACAACGACGATGGGTGCATGACCATGATGACAGGGGGCGACAGGGGAACAATGACGACAGCGGGGGCACCTTTCACCCCTGCCCTCACCCCTCATTCACTCCCCCCATCCTCTCCCTTGCCCTGTCGCCCTGTGCCTTGCCTTCTTGCTCCACCCCTCGCCCGCCGTCTCGCCCTCTTCCCTTGCCTTCTTGCCCTTGCCCTTGCCCTTGCCCTTGCCCTCTGCCTTTGCCCTCTGCCTTGCCCCCATCCTCTGCCTCGCTTGCCCTCACCCTCTTGCCCCTCATCTGCCCTCTGCCTCGCCCCTTGTCTGCCCTCTGCCTCGGCCCTGTCCTCTGCCTCACCCTCTCGCTGTCTGCCCAACCGTCTCGCCCTTGTCATCACCATCTCACCCCTCACCCTTTCGCCCCTCGCCCTCTCGCCCACCTCGCCTTCACCCTCTCACCCACCTCGCCTTCGCCCTCGCCCTCTCACCCTCTTGCCCTCTTGCCCTTGCCCTCTTGCCCTCTTGCCCTTGCCCTTTGCCATTGCCCTTTGCCATTGCCGTTCGCCGTTCGCCCTTCACCCCCGCTGTTCGCCTCCTGCTCAGCACCCACCACTAGCAGCCCAAGCAGAAGGGGAGCACGAGCACCCGAAGAACCCCCACGAGCACCCAAAGAGGCCCAACGAGTACCCGAAGGGGCAGAGGGGGCAGAGAGCATGGGTGGAGAGCGCGGAGGGGGTGGAAGTGGCCCCATGAGTACACAAGGGGTTGAGGGAACCCCAACGAGCACAGGAGGGGGCAGAGAGGGCAGAAGGGACCTGTACCCACCTCCCTGAGCAGAAACGGTACTTCATAGCCCGCTGTTTCTGCTCATTTTACCTATATTCCATAGCAGGTGGCTCTACTAGCCACCCGCATCCTGTACTTTTTTTTGTACAATTTAATATGATTTTTTTTTGCATTTTTTCGCTGCAAAAGGGCATGGACCAAGACCAGAGCAGAAACGACATGTCACAACTCTGCTCATTTTCTCCTTATCACATAGTGGGTGGCTGGTAGAGCCACCTGCACCATGCATTTATTTTTATTTCAGTTTAATATGATTTTTTGCTATTTTTTTGGTGTACCCCAAGCTCGCTGGACATCGTGACAGACAACAGCGAGAGCTGTACAAGAGATGTGTCATTGTAATTACACCATAATCTAAAAATAGTACAAGGGCCTGAAAAAAGGCCGCGTCATCCAAACGCACCTGGCCCAATCCACCCATTCCCGCCCCCCAACAATGGGGGAAACGGTGCACAATGACGAGGAAATATGTTTCCTCGTCGTTGGCAGCTTTTCCCTGTCGAAAACGGGGGGGGAGCACCCCAAACGACGAGGAACAGTGTCTGAGCACTGTTTCCTGCATTGTTTGCATGTATTGACATGCCCTGCCCACAGCTGCGAGCCCCGGCACACCCGGCAAGGCCCTCTCCATAGGTGGACTGTAAAATCACAGTCCTGACATATAAGCATACCTTGTTAAAATACAGTATCTGATATAGATTTCTAGCAGACATGGCTGCCTCGTTGTGCCTCCGTCCTTGTTGTGCCTCCGTCCTTGTTGTGCCTCCGTCCTTGTTGTGCCCTGTCCTTGTTGTGCCATCGTCCTTGTCGTGCCGCCCTCCTTGTCATGCCCCCATTGTCGTCGTCATGCCCCCATTGTTGTCATCGTGCCGCCGCCGCCGCCGTTTGTCGCCCGCTGTCCATCATCCGTCGTCTTTTGTCGCCCGCTGTTGTTGTTCGTTGGCATCGTCATGCGTCGTTCATTTCGATATTCGTCCCTCTTCAAGGGGAGGTGTGCAGAGCAAGGGCGCAGGCGATGAGAGGCAGAAGGTGGTGGGGAGCTTGAGGATGGAGGAGGCGAGAGGGGTGCGAGAGGTGACCTGGGTGGGGTTTCATGCCTCTGCTCACATCCCTATTGAAGGGGAGGGGCATGAAAGGCAACAAAAACAAACGTCGACTTAAAGTCGACGTTCATTGACCTAGCGTTGATTTAAATATCAATTAGAGTACACATTTATAAAGGAAATATATTACTTACCTTTTTTTCCAGTCCTGGGGGGTTATTTGAGGTGTTGGACTGAGAGGGGGAGCGCCAGGTGGTAGTTGAAACTGAGATCAACGACGTTTGTCGTCATTGTTGGCTTATCTGGCGGATGCCGTGGGCGACGTGATTGGCTGGCGCTGGCAGTCCGGCCAGCCTGTGTTCCGCTCGTCGACCTCGGAAGAGCCAATACACTTGAGATATGAGGAAATTTCTTTGATTAATAGTCAGTAATTAATTACACTACTGTAGTCTATGTATTTAGAAAGATCCAAATATAATCTGAGAGCGTGAACGAGCTAGAAGTTCGAGTTACCGTTTCCGTGTGGTGATTTACGTCCTCTTGATGTTCCAACCTCCCGAATACCACTCGTTCGAAGAGGTGAAACATCACAAAAATTGTGCATTTGAGATCCTTAGGAAAGTGAGTACATCATATAGAAATTAGCCTGAATTTCCAATGTAAATCCTATGATACAAGCCAGTGTCTGATATTTGACACATCCATGAGATAGTTTAACTATGGAATCCACCCCATTGTTTGCAATTTCTTAGTTTACATCTTAAAATTAATAAATTGGCCAGGGCCCAGGGGAGCTCTAAAACCCAGTACTATCATCATAAGCCAGTGGATGACTGTCCGTAAGGTATTTATTCCACAGTAGAATATTTCATAACAAAGTTGGACCTCAAATTCAAAGATAATCTTATAATCTATTCATCTGATTAAACCACAAGCCTCGTGATTAAAGATAATTGTCATTCCCTGGGCCTCCACCCATCTCTAGCCAGCCATGAATGAAGATGCACTCATATTCCAACAATTCACAGAGCAACTTGAAGAGGAGGCAGATGAAGAGTACTGGGAGATGGGTGCTGCTTCACTCAGCGTCATAGTGGGAGGTGCCGAGATCTCACATCAGTTACGGAATGAACGACATCGCGAAACCCGCCAATATCTTACCCGCCCTGAACTCCTGGAGAACCCCCAGATTGCGACACCATGGACCTCCCTTTACGACAGCAGGAGTGACCGTGCATATATCACAACCATGGGGTTCGATGTTGCCACCTTCGATTTCATTCTCAAGTCGGGTTTTGTACAGACCTGGCTCTCAACACCCATCCCCCGAACTGATACCTCTCGTTCAGGAGATCCACGACCAGGTGGCCGATCTTTGGATCCCCCAGGGGCCCTTGGCCTTGTCCTCCATTATCTCAGCTCCACGATGCTTGACGTCAGCTTGCAGCAAATCTTTGCTCTCATCCCTGCCACAGTTGTCTGGTATCTTGACTTCTCACTTGACATACTTCTCAAGGTCTTGTGAAGAATGCCAGATGCCTGTATCAAGTGGCCGAAGGGTGGCCCAGGTGGTGGGCAATTCCAAGAATACAATGATCTTATCATTGTTCGACATCCTCGACTGATTGGGGCCTTCGCTGCCATCGACGGATTGAATCTTCCTGTCCAAACATCGGAGGATGAAGATATTGAGAATGCTACCTACAACGGGTGGCTCTCAGAGCATTTTGTCAGCTCAGTACTTGTGTTCTCACCAAAAGGCAAGAACATCAATGCTATTGTAACTTCATTCACTGATAATATCTTAGGTGAAATCATTGATGCTGTTGTAAATGCACCAGGCAGTTGGCACGATGCTAATGTTGCTCATCCTATTTTTGAACGGCTTCACACACGAACACCACCTGGATACTACCTCATTGCTGACACAGCATTTCCTTGTGGAACACAATCCATTGCAGGACGCATTCGCGCCCCGCTCAAGGCTGGCCAGGCTGTGCGAGGTATGCCAGACGAGATTGCGGAGCGAATGGCCTATGACCGTGAGCTTCTCTCATATCGGCAAACAGCCGAGTGGGGAAATTGAGGTCTTCAAGGAGCATTTGGTCGTCTCCGTGTTCCACTTCCCATTGACAATGCAGAACGTCGAGGAAATCTCCTTGAGATCTGCAATCGCCTCAATAATCTGCGCACAAGACAAGTGGGAATCAATCAGATCCGGACTGTATACATGCGATACTGGCAGGACACAGCTGAGGACATTGATATCTGGCAGAACTTTGAGAATATGCTCTTCTCAGATCAACGAAAGAACAATAGAGTTGCTCGCTTCCATACTTACGCAGAATACATGTAAACAGGTTTGTATTACAAGCAGGTGTATGGTAATTGTAACGGAACACAACAAGTAACAGAACATAAGTGTAGACAGAAGTAGATGTTGCACTACTCTACTCGTCCTTGGGCCCATCAGCATCCTTGACATATATATCGTCATCGTCACCCTCCTCACCATCTTGGTCCTTGCCAGCTGTGGCAGTGGCAGCATTGGGCTGGGAAGTAGTCAAAGCTTGCAACTCTATGCCAAAGTGATGGCCTGACGATGACAACGACGAAGGCTGGTCTCTATAGTCAATGTCACAGCGGCGACGGAAGAAATTGGGGTCCTCGTTCTCCTTATCACTCTCACCCGAGGTAGAGGAGGGATCCGTGACCCAGTACGTGTGTATACCTCCCTCCGGGTACCTCTCCTCGCAACGCATCTTTCCCCGGACACGCTGGACTGAACGCTTTGTGGACTTCGAGCGCTTGACATACCCATTGTGGCGGCTCCTCCTGAAAGGTCGAGACTGGCGGCTACCCTCTTCAATGAGCTGCAACTGCAACTCAGCACGATCGCGGGCTCGCTGGGCCTCATGAACCTGGGTCTGGAGAGTAGAGAGCTGGGAGCGGAGCGACTCAATGGTAAGGTTGGCGTCTCGAAGTTGCTGGAAAAGGGTGAACATCTGCGAGGCTTGGAAGGAATGCTGGGCACGTTCCTCATCACGAGCTTGTTGGACACTCGGATCAAAGGCATTGGCAAGCTTTCCGATGAGGTCAACGTTGTTTGACCGAGAGCGGCGCTGGACAGCGGGGTCAGGTCGGCGGATGATAGCATTCTGGATATCACGGTTGCCAGCGGATGCCGCCTTCCTCGATTTCTTCGGCGCCTCTGGGATGTCGTCGGCATCGTCATCGTCATCTTCAGATCCACCAGTCAACTGAGCAGCATCATCGAAGTCGGAGTCGTTGAGATCGCGGGTGGCAGCCCTCTCGTTGATATGCCCGTCAATCTTGTGTGCTCGTTTGACGTCCGGGGGACAATAGGCATCACCAGTGGGCTTCGTGGTCTTAACAAGCTAAGATGTGTTGTAAGTAACGATGTTTCTTACATATAACCAAAAACGGCTGACCTGTTTGAACTTGGTCTCCAGAGACTTTAACGTGCGTTCAGCAGCATCGTTACGACGAGCCCAGCGAGTGAAACCACGGTGGATGGACTGCCACCCGCGTTGGCCAAGAGGGAGCTCCTCCTCGACAAAGTCAAGGAGGGCATCAACCTCGTCTGCAGTGTAGTTGCCAGCACCCTTGGGACGGCCACGCTTGGCTACTACCTCAACTTCTTCATCATCCGAGGCATGCCTGCGCTTGCGAGCGGTGGCCTTCTCCTTTCCCTTATCGCGAGACTCGGTTAGTACAGCGTGCTGTTTGCCCTTGCCCTTCTGACGTGATCCAGCGACCTTCTTCGCAGCGGCATGGCCCCGGGACTTCACAATTGTGACCGGGTCAGAGAGGTCGTCGTCCGAGACCTCAGGAAGAGGTAAAAGCGCCGGATCGATCACTGCAGTAGAAGGGCCGGCTGTCGGGGCTCGAGTGGATGTAACAATCTAACACAGCATTAGAACAAAGGAGATATATGATCTAGGAGGCTACATACCACAAGAGCCTCAGAAAGCGGTTGGTTTGGACCATCCTCCATGTTATTATGGGGGCGAGTCTGACAAAAACAAGTCAGGACTGGTGTAGACAACAATAAGATATAACAAAACGTACCGGGGCAGTTTCGTTCTGGGACACAGCAGGAAATCCATGAGTTGCAGTAGGGACAGACTGAAAGAGAAGGAAAGAGGGATTGAGACATGTAGAGACACCATATAGGGTAGGGTACCTACCTGAGAAGTCACCATGGTTGGCGCGTATAACTGAACCCAATGACCAGAGACATCTTGGACATATGGCCACCCAAACCTGTCATATCGGATGTTAGGGTTGCCAGGAACAGGGGTAAGTTGGTTGGGGTCCATAGCGGTTGATGAAGAGGTAGAACGAGCTGAGTTTTGGTGACACGAAGCCTGGGAGGTAGCAGCAACGACTCACCACTTTTATACCTATCTCTCCATGCATTTCAGCCGTCTTCCGCTCCTCATTTCCCCTCCTAAGCCTTCGATAATGTTCCTCAAGCCATTCAAGACCGTCTCGAGACCGCTAGCGAGCGCAATTAAGCCCCTGGCAATGCGGGCTGCAGCCAATAAAGGACCTAATTGCAGACCCTGCTCATGATTGGATGTGATTAGCATGGTACGAGGAAGTAGTAGCATGTAATGACTCACTCTCACACATGAAGGGGGCTTTGGCAAGCTCGATGGGCAACGATGGATGACAACGATGGACGATGACAAAGGTTAAGATAAGAGCACGGCGTAAGCAAACAGGGAGTTGTTTGGTTGTGCATCACGGGACAAACAGTTTATTCGACCGAAAAAAGTCTATTCGAGGGGGTAGGACCCTCTGAATAGATTAAGGTTTATTGAGGGGCCCAACCAGGCACGACGGATAATCTGCATTGACATGTTGGCAGCGGCATCGCGGCATCACCGCCAAGGAGCACGAATATAATCTATTGCAGCGAATAAATGCTTACGGACAGTCATCCAGTGTGTATCTTATTTTTATATATTTATTCGGCATCTTCTGCCTCTTGGAATCCACATACAGAGGTCAGAGTCCCATCATCGGCCTGAGCCTGAGATGGTTTCGCTCATAAAATATTTCATGTTGGCCAGATCTCACTAAGATTACATGTACAGATGAATTTGTATACTTACAACAATTTCTGATGGTTGTAATAGAGATAAATTACATTCTGCATGCATCGGAGACATTCCGTTGGTCGACAACGGAACAGATGGGGAGCGGGCCGGATTTCCCAGCCAATAGGAGGCATAGCCGGAACTCGCTGAACCGCGATCAACGATGGTTCAACATCGTTGATCCTGGTCTTCTCCACCACCTCCCTCACCCCTCATGACGAAGCAGCCCTGAAACACAAGAAAAAGGTAGGTACATATCTTTCCTATGTACCTACATCTCTACTAACCCACCTCTGCCCTCACAGAACCCCGTCCATGTCAATGACGACGTAATGAAGCCGCCCCTCCCCTCATGACAGGGATGTGGGCTCGGACACCTCCCTGCCCACCACCGCCCACTTGCCCGCCACTGCCCACTTGCCCACCATTGCCCGCTCGCCTACCATTGCCCTCTCGACCACACAGAGGATAACAACAGCGGGAGCAGAACAACAACAGCGAGGGCAGGACGACAACTACGGCGGGGGCAGAACGACAATGATGGCGGGGACAGAACGACAACGACGATGGGAGCAGCACGACAACGACAGCGGGGCACTTCACCCCCACCCTCCCGTCATTCCCTCCCCCCGTCGTCTGCCCCGTCGTCTCGCCTGCCTCTTGCCCACTTCGCTGTCTGCCCTGCCGTCTCGTCCCTTGTCCGTCCCTTGTCCACCCCTTGTCCACCCTCTCGCCCTCTTCCTCGCCCTCTCACCCCTCTTCCGTCCACCCCTTGTCCACCCCTTGTCCACCCCTTGTCCACCCCTCGCTCGCCCCTCGCTCATGCTCTGCCTGGCCTTCGCCCTGTCGCCCTCTCCCGTCGCCCTGTCGCCCTGTCGCCCGTCGCCCTCTTTCGCCCTCGCCCTCTTTCACCCTCACCCTCTTTCGCCCTCACCCTCTTTCGCCCTCACCCTCGCCCTCTCCGTCACCCTCTCACCGTCGCCCTCTCGCCCACCCTCTCGCCTTCTCGCCTTCGCCCTCACCCTTTCGCCTTTGCCCTCTCGCCCACCTCTCCCTCTCACCTGCCTCGCCCCCGCTGTCTCGCCACAACGACGACAACGACCGGCACAGAATGACAACGACAACGACTGGCGGCACGACAACGACAGGGAGGGCAGCACGACAATGGCGGCAGGGGCACTCTGCCTCGCCCTGTCGCCCTTTGCTGCGCCTTCTCGCCCCTCGTCAACCCCTCATCAACCCCTCGGCCGCCCATCGCTCGCCCCTCACCCCTCGTTCACCCTCGCCCTCTGCCTCACCCCTCTCCCTCTGCCCTGCCCCTTGCCCTCTGCCCCCTGCGTCACCCTCTCGCCCGCTGTCACCCTCTCGCCCGCCTCTCACTGTCACCTCACCCCCTCGCTGTCCGTCCATTGAGGCGAACATCATGAAGGGGAATGACAACGAGTGGCTGAGGGGTTCAACATGCCCCCGATGAGGCCCAGGGAGCCGCAGAGGGAAAATAGTGATGAAGGGACTAACAAGGAGGCGAGCGGACTCAACGAGCAGAGGAGGGGACCAAACGAGGAGATGAGGGACCGAACAAGCAGTGGAGGCTGCCCGCGAGCAGAGGAGGGGACAAATAACGAGCTGAGCGGCCCCCACGAACAGCGAAGGGCCCCAACGACAACTCGATGGACACCCATGAGCAGCTGAGGGGACCAACAGCCCCACACGAGCAGCGAAGGGATGAACGACGAGCTGAGGCCCCCCAACGAGCAGCAGAGGGTGTGTATGGGCAGAACAAGCAGGTCCCCCCGAGCAGAAACGGCGTGTTCATAGCGTGCTGTTTCTGCTCATTTTCTCTTTATTTTACAGCAGGTGGCTAGTAGAGCCACCTGCACCATGTATATATTTTACTTCAATTTAATATGATTTTTTTTGTAAAATTTTTCGTGTGTTGAGATGCCCCTGAGCTCGCCGGACATCATAACAGACGACGGCGAGAGCAATATAATAGATGTGTCATGGTAATTACAGCATAATCTAAAAATAGCTACGAGACCCGAAAAAGGGCCGCATCATCCAAACCACCCCCTCCCAATCCAGCTATCCCGCCCCCCCAACGGCGGGGAAATGGTGCAGAACGGTGAAGAAAGATCTTTCCTCATTGTTGGCACCTTTTCCCCGTCGAAAACGGGGGCGGGAGCACCCCAAATGATGAGGAACAGTGTCCGAGCACTGTTTCCTGCATTGTTTGCATGTATTGACATGCCCCGCCCACAGCCGCGAGCCCCGGCACACCCAGCAAGGCCCTCTCCATAGGTGGACTGTAAAACCACAGTCCTGACATATAAGCATACCTTGTTTAAATACAGTATCTGATATATTGTCGTGGCTTATAGAAGTGCGGCGCGCCACCCTTTCCTTGTTAGGTAGCCTTTTCCCCCATCAACGCAGTTGCCGCCTCGCCGCCTCTCCCCTATTCCATTCCTGTTTCATTCTTATCTGAAATTTTCTGTTTTTCTTTCTTCCTTCACCCACGGCTCAGATATCTTCCTTGCCGGGCTCTTCTTTCTCCATAGATATAATCCATGTCTACACACTCACACAATATAGAGAATTTAGTTCGTTTTTCCGTCTCTCACCTCCCTCGTTCCTCGCTCTCTCACTCGTATTCCGGAGGCGCCGTTGCCTCATTCGTCCCGTTCCCACGCTTAGCGCCTGCATTCGCCATCCGTCTTCGAGTCGCGTGTGCCCACTGGTTAGAGCTGCACAACCACGGAACTGTCCTCGCACCTCAGAGCCACTCATTGCGGTGTTTTGGGTGTGTGATATTCATTCATTATTCGCACGATCACCCCACCATAGGCACATCATCGAGGATTTCTTTTGCTTTACACCACGAGCAGGAGTAACAACGTCAACATAGACTGCAACTTCGGGAATGGCCTTCACTTTCTTTGCAGGAGGTGCAGCTAATTCTTCCCCACTTGCAACAGAAGAGATTTCATCTTCCCCGGACTCTTGTATGTTGTCGTTGTTGTCAGCCTCATTCTGGACATCAGAAAGAATAGCATCAGCTGTGTCCTTCGAGACAGTTCAGCGAGACTGAGAGGGATGAGCAGCAGGAGCAGCAATGTCGTTCTCTTGAGACTTCTTTGTCTTCTTTTGCTTTTTCTCCTTGGTGGCCTGGGCTTTGCGCTTTTTCTCCATGGTGGCAGGAGTGCCGACGAACCACTTTTCAACTGCCCAATCTCAGTGAATATATGCATAGCTGGACATGGCTAAAACTCATGGTGTGGATTGCCAGCAACAAGATCTTGGATGTCTTCTTTGATGCAAAGGGGGCTTTCTGGACCTTCAGAAGGCATCCTGTGTGGCGACGACGAAGCAGGTGGCAGCGGGGAGATAAGGCGAGGCGACGATGCAATAGCCGTAGCCGTGGGACTCAAGTGCACAGCCTGTCCATAAAAGGGAATGGCTTCGATTTCTATTTAGAGAACGCGCAAAGAAAAAAAGACCAAATCCCCATACTTTCTGGAACCGCTGTAAGAGTTTACACTATCCTAGTAGTTCATTGGATCATAGGATCAATCCTCATACTGTGGTTGACTGGCTATTTTATAAGAATACTGACCCTTCTCGAAACTTTGTTAGACCCACGAACTCACTGGAATAGCCTGAGTAATGACTCTCCGGTGAAACCCAGGAACTAACCCTTTGTTTGCTGACAACAATTACCAAGTTATACCAGCACATCTCTTCCTCAATTGACATTTCTGATTTGTACGCAACCGTTGATCAGCATGTCGCACGATGATAGCTGCCCAAGGGACCCTTGTTTCCGTTCTGTAATTCAGTTTCACGATTTCATCGAAGTCGAAGTTAAATGACATTTCACGGTGCAGGCACAGCAAGGTTGATCATCGAATATCATTGCTTTAGGAGTGGATTGCAGTCTGAGCTAAAATACTGCCTCGTCAGACATTTTGCACCCCATCTCTATAACGCATCATACATTACTGATACTCCCGGAAAACCAGTGTTCAGCGTTTGGACCATGCCGGTATACCTACTACTACTACATCTCGTCCTCGCCGATCCCGTTTTAGCACTTCAAATGGTCTTCGATATGTGACGAAAAGAAACACTCTTCGGACAACTTCTTTCCCACATCTCGCTGGGTTCCAGGAACCCACCGTTCGAATTTCCTGTCAATCGGGTGGTCGTTGGCTTGGATGTCAATGAACTGGAGAGTCGGGCAAAGGACAAAAAATCTACCCGTCTCCTCAGGCGCCTGAAGATAGGATAAATCGTCGTCCATCTCTGGATGGGTTGGGAAGATGAGTCCTACAAGCGAAATGAATTGGGGTAGCGTCTCTAGGACGTCAGAATCCTGTAGATTTTTTGGAGGCTGTCAGTGTTGCTCACATCGAGATAAGAGTGATAAGCGTACCGCAGGAAACATTTCTAAGTACTGAAGATTCTTGTAAAGATCCTTGGATATGGACGAGAAACGCGGGCTTTCTGGAGTTGCTAGAAACGACAGAGCCTTGATTTGACTGAGTTCCTTTGACAAATGGTCGAAGTTTAGTTCAATTTCCTCCTCCGGCAAATCAATGACCACGAAACCGAGAATGGTGATATTCCGGCCTGGAAGGGTGGCTTGAATAATATCTGGGGTGCTTCTGAGGTACTGGAGGTTGGGACAAGCCGGCAAGGGAAAGGAGGGCACGACGCCAACGCCGTCGCTAGCATCGAATTCGAGCTTGCGAAGCTTCTTCTGCGTCTGAAAGAAACAATAAATTTTCTCCCATCCGAAGGCACAGTCTATCCACGAAAAACTTTCGAGCTGGAAGAGACAACCTTCAAGGAAGTTGTTGGGAATCCTACGGTAGAGTATGAGGTCGAGATGCTCCAGGTTCACCATCGCGTCCAAGGCAGGACCTGGGGCCAGGGGTGCGGTATGCTGCACTGGTGGGGCCATCATTTGTGCATGCGCGAGAGTGTACGAGTGCACGTATTTTGAGAGCAAAGGATTTATCAAGAGTGCGATCGTATCAGCTCGAGGAGAACGTTTGCGCGAAGGATGTCCGACATTTCTGTACAAGAGACGTCGCGATTCTTCGCAGAGAGCCTTGTTAACCAGCGCTGTTGAAGCTAGGGTTTTGAAGTCTCCTCGCAATGACTGCAGGATCATGGTTGTCAGCTCGATTGGCAGACGAGGGCCGGGAAGTGTAGGCCCTCCGGCATCGCTGTCGGTTGAAGCTGCCATGGGGTTCAATCGAGAAGTCGCGTTGAAGGGTATTAGGTGTGCTCGGGTATCATTTAAGTAGTTTTGGAGAGCATCCAATGCAGGATGATATGCCGGAAGGTCGGTGGTTGTAGAGAAAGCCTTGAGAATTCGAACCCATTCAAACATTTCGTCTTTCGTTGACGTAATTCTCTTGGCAATTTACGGAGGCCCCTTTCGTCGAGGCTGTAAAATAGGAAAGTCTATAGTCAAAATACGTGTATTACAGTCCAGTACAAGTTTATGAGTAACGAGCGCAGGAGGGAAGGATACTGAACATTGAACATTTACAGAGAACGGAAAATACGGGGTGAATTAAGGTTAGAGAGTCATCAAAAAGTAAGAGGTCGAAAGGAACGTTGAGGGGTCGTAAGTCGTGTGTCTTCAAAAGGTATCGGGGGTGGTAGTCAATGATGTAGTGATCATGCAAACAGCCACGGTCGAGGAACGCAATCAACACCCGCATCCTCCCTCCTGCCTCGGCTCTTCTCGCAATCCAACAATCTGGACACCGCCGGGCATGCCACCACCGCCACCACCCGTCGCCTGTGCCCGGCTGTTCGCGGATTCCCAGAGTTCCGGTGTGGCCAGGATCTTCTCGACGACCTCCTGGAAGGCGTCCTTTACACCGACAGCAGTCTTCGCCGAAGTCTCGATGAACAAGGACGACATTCGCGAAGCGAACTTCTCTCCTTCAGCTGTTGGCACCTGCCTTGAGAATTCCTGTGGCAAGATCCAGAATATTTAGTCAGGATTAAAGAATAAGATACGACACAGTAGCGAACGCACTTTGTCAACCTTGTTCCCAACCAGGATCTTCACCACCGAGCTTGACACGTAGGTCTCTAGTTCACTGTACCACCGCGGGAGCGCCTCGAACGATTCCCGGTTGGCGACGTCATACACTGTCTCCAATCAGCAACCGCTCGACATAGGGGACACCGGATCCACCCACCTAGGATAATCCCCTGTGCACCACGGTAGTACGAGGACGTGATGGTCCGGAAACGTTCCTGCCCTGCTGTATCCTGTTGCCGAACGGTTGAGCTCAATGTGGCTCGTGTGAGCGGCGACGACAACACGAGGTAGACGTACCCAAATGCTCAACTTGACCTTCTTCCCATTGATCTCCATCTTATGTACCTGTAATCACGGGGAGAGGTGTGTCAGAATCTTGCTGAAAAGAGCCACAACGGCCAGGATGTCGAGCACGACGCAGGATTCGACTGCATGAGTCGACTGAAGAAAACCAACGTACTCGAAAGTCCACACCTATCGTCGCGCTGCTCTCGTCCTCCGGTAACCATTGCTCGTCAGAGAACCGTAATAGCAGACTTGACTTTCCAACTGATGAGTTGCCAATGAGCAGAAGCTTCACGTTGACAGGTTGTGTTGCTACAGGTGTCGGTGCCATTGTGACGCGAGAAGTGATAGATATGGAGTCTAACTGGGCCTGTGATGTCTATGCGTCCAATTTAATCGTAAAATAGCGTTCGTTTGGTTCCTAGAAGGTCGTGAAAAGGAAGAGCGGTTGGGGATGGAGGAGGTTGAAGTGAAAGAAGCGGAGCCCAATAATTAGCCGAGATTGAGGAGCTGTGGCTAAATTTAGTAATCTCAGGGTTGCTTCCTACCTCCATCACCTACTTATCCGTTGTTCAAACGCTGCAAGAACCTTGACAGCAGGACTCATTCAGCCATGGAAACTCATCACGATACGACTACTAACCTTCTTGAAATTATTGTTCACAATCTAGAGACTAGAAGGCGATAACCGAACGCTATCCTCCTTCGCACGCGTCAACAAGATACTCTGCGAAGAGGCCAGGAACCTGATGTACCAGACAGTAGAGTTCATGGAACCCTCACGTCCCAGTCCTATATTTGTGCACCCAAGCCTTGCAAAATACGTCCAGAGTTACATCATAAGGCACTCAGTATTCAACTTTCACATCCTACGTCCGTAACGACCATTTCGACGCTCTTATCACCCCTTCTGCTCTACAATCTATGGTCAATCTCAAGTAAGTATGTCTCGACATTGCGAATGTCGGTGACGTCCCACGCGAGCTTTTCCTCAATTTTACACCGCAGCTAGGAATCTTTTGTTGGACTCCTACTGCATGCCGCATTTCCTATCCAAGCAGATGAGTCTCCATTGCGCCCTCGGGTATAAATTCGACAACAGTTTCATCCCGCTTCCTGCGTGTGCAGATCTCGAATATCTCAAAAGAGACTGCTTCATGATCGAGGTGATGACGCCAGGCCGCAAGATTTCTACTTTGATATGACTCTGCTACAGCGGGGAGCCGCCAGAGCTGCCCAACCATTTATACCAGGAGATCTGTCAACTCAAGGTCCTCTCATTTTTTCAGGACCCCAACAGTTGCCCCGAGTCACCCAGATAGCGACATATCTGCATAGTCTGCAGTATCTGCGGATTAGCTCTGATGTAAGTGGTCTTCTTATTTCCGATTGGTCTATCAACTAAGCAGAATGTATAGGAGCCAAATCTCATCAATACGTCGGTTCCCTTCCTCAACTACGTGGACTTGTCATCTCGCCTCCAAAGGATGTCCGTCTCATTCGCGACATGAACATGTTTCGCGATAGCGCCGTCATTAGCGCGTTTTTCAGCCGATGCCCACATCTGAATTTTATAGACATCGAAGTCATGAAGGTCAGGAAGATTCAGAAGGTATTTGAGCAGTGGCTCCCTTCAGAGAACGGTGACGAAGGGGTTCACTTCCTCCCGGAATATGTCAAAGTCGCAGTGGATATCCCGGACAATATTGCCTTCTTATAAGGCATTAGCTTTAAGATTTTATCCTACTCCATGGGACGCTGTTCTGTCATTCTTGCTGTAACATACTTGTAGGTTAGGAATCAATGGTTTGCTGATAAGATAAGATCGAATGTTTACCTAATCTGACATCAAACCGCCAAGCAACATTGTGTCGTCACACCTTCTCTTCACCTCCAACACAGGCTTTCTTGAAGATACCATCCCACAGAACAGAACCCGCGTAGCTATGTCTATCCTCGTGGAAAAAGGACGAAAAACATCCCTGCCCTCGAGAAACAAGGAGAACGACTCGTTATCTCATTGAGCCACTCAACAACGCTCGCTTTGTCTTTGTGATAAACGTTTAACGTGGGCTCACAAATCAGCACAAGCGTCACCGCCCTCTTTCAAAGCGCGACCAGGTGACCCAATCCTCAAATGGAGTCTGCACAAGCGCGTCAATTGTTCTTCATTTAACTGCAAGCCATCCTGTCGCGTTTGCAAAGCGTCCTTCAACTACCCACCACTCTACTTATTCACCTCGTCGCATCCTATCCAGTACTCTCACAGCAATGAAGATTGTCGTTCACCAGGAGCACCAGTCCAGAAGCATCCGAGATGTCCTGAGTGCGATTAAAGTTCTCGTCGCTGAAGGCACACAATTGTCGCGTCAAAGCGGGGACGCACGGCACACCGCACTCTTGGACAAACTCGCAGAGGCCCTCGGAATGGAGGATGCCTGGCCCACCATGTGAGTTCCCCTGATCTCTTGGTTTCGTTAGAGCGAACCTAATGTTCTCGATGTACGCAGCACGCACAACGACGCAGTTGGATGGACGCCGTCGTACGTACTAAGTCGCGTCTCGTTCTTCGTGTTCTTACGACTCTATTTACGTAGATACCATGGTCCACCCACTCCGAAGACCCCCACGAATAACCCGCCTGTCGCCCGCAACTCTTCCCGAGGCAGCAGGATCGTCCGCCCCGGCAGCACGACAGCGATTGCCACTCAGCTCTCAGGTCAACCAACAACAGGTTCACCTTCTACCAAGAATTACACTACCGTGTTTTTCACCCCAGAGCGGCCTCTCACCAAAGGACGTCATCCTCGCGACCCAGAGACGTTCTGCAGTGACAGCGAGGGGAAGACCTTTAGGATGTCGCGGGTTTTGACTGACGACGAACGTCTGGCGATTTGTCAAGGACGGTGCCGTCAAATGCAAAAGAAAGTCAAGGAAGGATGGTTCGCCCTTGTGATCTTGCCGCCGAACCAGGAGGCGGTTAACGGAAATGGCGAGCTTGAGGATGAAGGAGCTGCCGCTAGCTCGAAAGACAATTGCCGTGACTCGGCTGGTACCGCGTCCACAACGTCCGCTATCCCTTCTTCTCTGCCTTCGTCCACAGCACTGTCGTCTCCTGGCTCGATGCCCCCACCTCTCTTCCCTGCGTCCGCTCTTCGCTTGAGCCCTCGGAAGAAGCCCACCTCCTTACCCCCCGCCACCAACAAGGCCCCAAATTCCGTAGCTCAGCAGTCTCCTCGCATGCCGGTGCCCGATAGGTGCCTGTCCGTCAGCCCGGAACCTCGATCTCCCATACACAGCAACAGATCCTTCACAGCGCCGGACGCATCAACGAAGGAGGCTGCTACCTCCACCACCGCAGTTGGAACGGAGCTTCAGGTCGTCAAACCCCTCAAGCGGAGTCGTGACGAGGATGAAGAATATGAGCCAGCAGGTAGCTCAACTGTGGCGTCCGACACCAAGAAGCGACGTGTGGGCGCTGCTGTCGACGTCATCAGTCCTGCAGCACCCGAAGTACAGCAGCATACAGGTACTTTCCTTCAGTGTTCGCCTTTCTCCTATACTGATTGTCTTTTTGCAAGCACTCGTCCGTTGCATGGCAGGAGGAAGTGCTCCTTGTCGTTGTCCGATCTGCGACAAGACAGCGTCATTCAAGTTTACCTTCACCTGCGCTCCTCCCAAGTCACCAGCCAGTCCCATGTTCACCTTCGGACAGTCTTCAAACATCCCAGTTACTCGTCCCTCTTCGCCACCGATGCTGACTTCACCCATTACTGCTTCTGGGCTTGCGCCTCCGACCCAAGTGCAGAAGATGCTCGTGGTCTCGCCATCATCTAACCCGTTGAAGCGCGCTCGCAATCCGGAGGATCACACACACGACATGTCCAACGAGTCAGCCCGTCCTGCGACAAGGCAACGCGCGATGAGCTCCGACGACGTGCCCGACTCGTCGTTGTACTTCTCGCCTTCTGATCCTGCTCGAAGTCGATCTGCGCCACCTGTGAATTATGTGGTGGGTGCAGCGAGAGCGGTAGCGGTAGCTGAGCATGGGATGGTGTTTGGAAACCGCCTGAAAGGGGCGAAGAATTTGTGATGGGACTTATACCGAAATTCATTGTCCTTCCCGGTATTTGTAGTTTTTTTAATCTCTTTTTCTTCTTTTGTTTGTTTATTTTCTCCCGTCTCGCCTCGGGGCGTTGAACAGGACTACCGGAACTCTCATCGTTCTTGGGGAAGCACGCGGGTTGTCGCGCCCCGTTTCCTTTTCCTTTGAGGCTGATAGAAGCTCACCGTCGTACTCCAGTCGCACCACTGGGTTTTTCGATACGTCGTAAGGGTTGTCAGGTGTGGGTGGAAGGGGATGGTGAGCATGACATTGGTGTCGGTGCTTTATACTTTCCGCTTGCTCAGTCGCCGGTGCTCGTATAATTCAATTGAATTTGTTCATGAAATCGAAAGCGAAAATGAGACGAATGTCCGGCGAGATCAAGCAATCGTCCTCTTGCCTATGATTCTGGTACAGATTCATGCATGTAAGTCAATACTCGAAAAACTGATTGGGTATTATGAACGAGATATCAAAGAAAAAACAACTGGAAGCCGTGTCCGCTCTGCGTTCGCGATGTATAGTAAGTATATAGGCAGAAAGCCTCTGTTGAAGAAACGGTAGTAGATATTTATGCTTCTTCATTCATGTGCCCCTCGATATCCGCCGTGAAAAGTACTCTTCCGACAACCTCTGCCCTGTACTTCGTCCTGCAGTCCCTGGGATCCACCGCTCGAACTGCCTCTCTTCTTCATCACCGTTTAATTGAATGTCGACAAACTTGAGGGTCAGGGAACGAGAAAAAAGTTGGCCAGTTTCAGCTAATTTTTGCAGGTCCGAAGGGTCAGGTTCGAAGACGTCATCAATACAGAATATGAGGCCTGTAAGTTTTGTGAATTGTGGCAACATTTCCAAAATTTCTGGTTCCTGTATATCCGTTCTTGAGTAACAGCCTCGCGTCTGATCACGAGAAATGGAAGAGATCATACCTCGAAGATTTCCAAGTATTCAAGAGTCTTGAAGAAAAATGTGGCTATAGCAGAGAGATAATTCGGATCCCGTGTGGAGAGAAACGATATTGCTTTGATTCTGCTAAGCTCGTCTGACATGGGATTTAAATCGAGCTGGTCGTTGTATTCTTCCCATGGCACCCAGATGAGGATGGTCACTCGGCTTCCGGGAAGAGCGGCCTTGACAACATTCGTAGTCCCTCGGAGAAACTGGAGATCTTCACAAATGGGCAGGAGGAGAGCGCCACTCCCTTCCTCCTGGTGTAGACCAATTTCAAGCTTTCGGATCTTTGTCTGGTTTTTCAAGAATTGTTGTAGGGTCTCCGAATTCCATCGACACTGGAACCAGCTGAAGGTCGTTAGCTGGAAGCGACTGCCCTGTAGAATGTTATCCGGTAGTCTCCTGCTGATTATGTCGAGTGTGAGACTCTTGAGGTTGACCATGGCATCCAAAGCCGGACCCGGGCATAGTGCGGAGCAACTTGGAGAGCATTCCGCTGTGTAACCAAAAGGGTTGTCTTCGACGATATGTGTATGGACATATGTTGCAAGACCAGGGTTTATTGTGAGAGCGAATGAGTGCGCTCTAACATTGGTCACTGAAGGGTATCCAACGGTTCTGTACAAGAGTCGCCTCGCTTCCTCGCAGAATGCCTTGTTCACAAGCGCGACTGCAGCCAATGTATTGAAGTCGTAGTTGAGGGATCGGACGATGGCTGTTATAATCTCTACAGGCAGGAGATGGGGTAATGTCTGAGTTTCCATGTCTTCGCAGCGTGCAGAGGACGATGATGGCAAGGGTCGATGCGCATGGCATGCAGTGTGGCGCACGGCATGTCCGTGGGAAGCTATTAGTAATTACCTTGGTCGGCCCGCTTGGGTCCCACGGTTGACTTCCATGTCGACAGCACCCAGCACCCATTCAAATCGACAACGACAAGACCCGCACACCACCGAACGCCGTTCTCAGCAGCTTCAGGCGTCTTCGAAGACTCCACATATTCCCCGAAATGTATGCTACTTCACGTCCAGGCAGGGGGCCTGTGCTTTAAGTTAAAACCTTGAAATCGAGCATGGCGGCTAACGGTGCAAGCAAGTGTAAGCATCATCTCGCGGACTCGAAGCGTCTCTCTCCGAATCTCACCAGCAACATCAGTAGCTCTTGGCTATAATATGGAAGCAGCTGCGTCTAATTTCGGTGATAGGCACTTATCTCGTTTCTAACCTCCACCAGATGTCCGATGGCGTATGGAACGGGAGCTAACATCGCCGCGGAAGCTTTTATCTCTCGAACATGGTTGACTCATATGAGAACCTCCATCGGCATTGGCCCTGTCAGTTGCTTTAAGCAATGCTTACGGAAGTCGCAATGTTTGAGGGTGAATAAGGAAAGGCTGCGGCCTACTCTCAAGTGGTCTTTCACACATTTTGGTGCGCGTTCAAGTATCATTCGGCGACACGAGAGATCGAGCTGCCCCTCGAAACACACCGTGATGGTTCTTTCCCGCCACCCCTGAGAAACACCCGTTCACACTAATTGATTCGTTGCACTATGGCGGAACATGTGGCGAGTCCGCCGCTACGCATGTGCACCCCCTTTCGCTCTGGGTTCTGGACGAGGCCGCAGCCGACCTATAGCTATATGAGATCCGGGGGGGATTAGCTCTCTCTCCTCCCTCCTCCTCCTCCTCCCTACCTAACCACAGAAGTCACGGCCATGGACAGCGCAGATATGGCTGCGTTTTTGATTGAGAGGACACGGATATCGGTGACGATCAGGGTACGCATCCTATGTCTTCTATTCTTTGGAGAAAAGTTAATGTCTTGGGTTTGCCGTCAAGATGGTGGATAGTGCGTGGGATCATTCCTTGGACGCCTTTTCTCGAACCTTACGCCACACACACAGTCGCAGCCTGTACAATGTTCGTTTTCGATTATTTCCTTACGCTGGGCATGGAGATCGACTACGTCTGGCCCGGGAAGTGGACGCCCATCAAGATCATTTTTTTCATCCAGCGTTACCTTCCGTTCATCGATAGCGTAGGGTTAGGCCTCTATCGTGCGTCCGGTCTTTCCCCCCTTGGTGTAAAACTCGCCAAGTGACGTGTCTCCTCGTCGTTTTAGAGGAATTTGGAATGAATCTCAGTCCCACGACTTGCCACCTCCTCAATAATGCTGGAAAATCGCTGATCTTTATCGGATTGGCGTTTTCAGAAGGTCCCTGGGTCATTTTCTGGCATTGCAAACGAGAAGATTTAACCCCCTTTTTCCTGTGACAGTTATTCTTACGTTCCGAGTATGGGCAGTATGGAACCGCACGAAGATCCTCACGATATTGCTCCCTATCCTCTTCGCGGCTTGCTGGATCCCTCACATCACCGTTATTTATAAATTTCTCAAGACCTTGCGTTGTACGTGCAATTCGTTTGCTTCTATGGTTGATCTTGTTAACCTCATATGCGCTCTCAGTCATCCAAGCACCAATACCGGGTTTTGAAGGCTGTTTTTTCGTCGACGCTGGCTCGAATATCGTCGTTAGTTGGGCGCTTCTCTTGGTCTGGGACACACGTGCGTGGCGTCGGTGAATGGCCTTCGACCGCCCCGCTGACTGAGCGCTTTTAGTAATGCTCGTCATGATGGTCATTCCTGCCCTTAAAGCTTGTATGTTCGTTTCAACCTTTGCTCGACGCACGCCACACTAATTGACGCATTTTAAATCGCCAGACCACTTCAGAGGACACTCTGCCTTGTACAGCACACTCTATGGAGACGGTACGCCTGTTCAGAATTTGACGTGATTTCGGACGCTTAGCGGCTTCGTTCTAGGCATCATCTACTATTTCTATCTCTTCAGTGCGTCCTAGGACGATGAATAAACAGGGACTTTACTAATAGAACTTCCCGTAGTCATGTCGATGGCCAACATCGTTCTCCACCGCCTAGAATCCGTGAGTTGTCTCTTTTCTATTCTCGAGTCGGCCTGACAACTTACGTTCGACCCAGGTCGACGTCGTATACCGTTTCCTGGCCGTTGTGTACGTCACAGTTTCTGCCGTCCACCAGATGCTCATAATTGCACGGGCTTTACTAGCATGGCACGCTGCGTTCACTCCATGCTCACAAGCCGGGCTCTCCTTCATATCCGAGCGCGAATGTCGGAAGGTCAACAACACCAGATCCCACATATCCCTTCGTCAGATGATCCCGTCTATCCCTTGCCGACGAAACGTCCTGGACACTGGTAGGAGGCTAGCTCTACGATACACCATCTAATCTAAGATATCTTCGCAGTTAATAGTTTTCCAATTGGGTTTACAGTCGACGTTGTAGCTTAATTTATTCTTTCTTCTGTGTGTATTTTTACTGGGCCACCTCTCGCAATGCTATTCTGCTTACTGAGCGTACGTCATGCAGATGTCGCATCCGCGAAATTGAAAGGTGGTGCGCGATGTCGATGATCAGCGATCATGCGGCACATCGAGACGTCGATCCCTCGCCGTGTCGCCTTCCGGTACCTCGTTCTAACCTTCGTGAGATCCACAAGCTAGAATTCCAGCCTCTCTCCCTCTGCCTGGAAATATGCCCGGCGTGAAGAGCAAGTACTAGGTCATCAGCATACCCAGGTTGTTGCCGTAGCTGATACGGAAAAGGACTTACGTCCGACCATTCCAAACCTGGTGGACCTACAAAGTCCACGGCGCGGAGCACTTACCAATTATGGACTCGATCGAGAGTCGTCTTCCACCTCGAGATTCTTGCAAAGTCAGTTCTACGGGCTAGCGGTGAACATTTGAAGAGGTAGATTAAATCATGCTGCACGTCAGAAATCGTATCCTTTTCTGAAAGAAGCACTGGGATTGGCCACGAGGCGCACAGTATAGAGTAAACTAATTTCCGAGACAATGGGTCACAGGTAGAAGAATCAAAGGCGAACCTCTCGACACCTGCGAGAAGATCGGAGGTATAGTGAAAAATAATGATGAAACAGATGCAAGGTCGGGGAGCAAAGAATAAATAGATGAAATTCAAGTCCTGTACGCAAAGGGTATGGGGAAGAGGTATCAGCGGGCTGTCACCAGCACAATTACAAGGGTAGAGAACTGGTACTGGTATCCATCGCCTTTGTCAAGGGGAAATGTTTGAACGGCTCCTAAAATGTTCGTATGTGTGTAGAATCTGGGTCTCCGACCTCGAGAGGAAGAAGGACTAGCAGCGTAAAGGGCGAACCACGGTCGTCTGCTAGTTGAAGAGTCTCCATCTTCGTCGCTTATTGTGGCGGGGGCTGGTAGCGACCGGTTGGAGGTTGGGAAGGGACTCGGAGTAACTGGAAGGCAACTGGAGATGACTAGGCAGAGGCGAAGCCAGAATATTGTAGACATTGATAACGATCGCCGTCGGCCGCACTTGCAATGCCTGCGAGCCTTCTGATGAGGTGGCGTCGGTTCGATGAGGAGAAGAGAGGGCATATGAGGGTTGCTGTATTATAGGCGGCGCTTGTGAGGCAGAGCTGTGCCTAACGAGTGTCCTGCTCGATGTTGGGGAAGTGATTATCGAGAGCGGCTGAGGGTGACGCGGATGACCGACTGGCGATTGAGAAGGGGTATGATGATATGGCAAAGGGACTTGGAAAGAGGGAGTGGGGGACATGAAACGGTGGGACCTCGATTCTCTTGGCATCGATGGTGTGGATTGAGGATAGCTTCCAGAATAAGTCGTCTCGCTCGCCAGCACAGCAGATCCAGCGGACGTACTGCGGTAGAGCTGATGGGCGACTGGAATGTCATGTGCGGATCGCGGATAATTGGTCATGCCGTCATTTAGGACGGTCATTGAATAGCTTGGTGAAGAATGAAAGGAGGGAGATGAGGAGGCGATGGAATGCAAACTAGGAGAAGGCCATTCGCGTTCCCCACGTAAGCGGTCATATTCTACGTCCTGGGGTGGATAAAATTGTCTTGCGCTTCTGGACCGAGCGACAACAATGGAGTCGACGACTGGAACACCATTAAGATGGGAATGTGCGTGGCTGGGGTAAGAATGATAGTAGGGAGAGCGGGGAGGGATGCTCGACGTCGACACTGATCGATTGTTGGCGTTTGAACCCCAGTGAGATGAATTTGCCATTTCTGCGTGCGCTTCTGAACTGCGATCGATATTGCCACGGGACTCTGTGGGAGTGTATACAACTTGGTGGAGGGCTCCCGAGGTTGAACCAACGAGCAGGAGAGCCTGGTAGAGGTTCTCTGGGCGATCACAGTGGCCTTTATCTCTGGGAACGGCGAGGTGGCTGAGCCAGCGGTGAGTCACGTCCTCATTTACGTAGCTTCGGAACAACGGAGACCGCCATTAGATGTCCTAAGCTATGCACCATTTCACAGCCTAAGAATCAAAGCTTACTGGACGTGGATACAAAATGGTTCGAGCTGACGTTCGACGAACGAACGAACAAACTCAAGCAACACTCTGAAGCCATATAAGTAGTATGGTACCACTTTCGCGGCAAGACCAACGAATAGATTTCCGAGACCTGGACGTCTTGCAGCACTCAATGCAAGTCAGAATTGCTACCTTGCCAGGTTTTCATGCAGCTTGTGGTATGCAAGGATATTCTCTCGTCAATGCCATTCTGTGTCCGAACGCAAGGCGTGCTGCATGCCTCTTGTCGCTGACTGGTTGAAATTACCTAAGAATAGGCGCCCGGAGAAAGCCGTACTTCGCCGGTTGACATTATAACGCCGAGCTTCCTGTTGGGGATGTCCGGGTGAGCGCCATCCCAGTTTGAAGGACGTAAGAGAAGCGCGAACACGCACGGAGGATTGCCTCCTCCAATGGGGATACGATATGAAAGATCATGCTGCGGTTGTCAAATAGGCATCCTAGCATTTAGGGTACGGAAGAGAGACAGAGGAGAAAAAAGGGATGTGAAGCGATGGTGAGGGATGAGCGCGGTGACTAAGTAGAATGCGGCCAGCGCGAAGGAGGGACGTAGATAGGCATATCGCGAGTGGGTTGTGGTTGGGGTCTGGACCTGGTGAACGAAGGCTTGGGCGTGAAGCCGGCTTCGGGTTGGGATAAGCTCCTCCGTTCGAATGCTTCCAGAATCGAAGTCATGGTGGTATGGCTTCTGTATCTACCATGTAATTGGGTCCGAGAAAACGTGTGGCTCGGGAACATTGACAAAATGGGAGACAGTGCTCTGATCATGAGCCCTTAAGGCCTTGATGGCCCTCCTTTTAAGCTGAACGATAGAACTAACAGTCTCATTGTGCCATGTGCACTGCGTATTTTACGGCGTGCGTTGAGGTATTCTGGGAAAGCTGAGAAAGAATTTGGATATGGGTTCAGGAATACCGGAAATTGGAAGAATGCCTGTCGGGCAAGTTCACGGAGTAAGTATTAACAAACAAAGAAGCTACATAAGACCGTGGGGCTAATAGGGTCTTAATTATAGACGCCCGTAAGTCAGGACGTAAGACTCTTACAAGGCTGTGCTCTAATCCCTTTCGTGGTAATTCAGGGTCGGACATAGTTCGAAGAGATGAAGAGATAATCCTTCCAGGGTTCACTCTCTGACGAATACCATATTATAAACTACGTCGAGAAGTAATGAGCAAACTGAGAGGGACCTGAGGCTCAAATATAGCCGACTTGAGGCACGTAATTTTTTTGAGAAGACGACGGGGACAGATGCTCAATATCGTTTCCTGCAAATTCTTGTAAAAAACGAGCTGGAGGTTGCCCAATGCCAAGAGATACGAGTGTATGGGCACCCGTGGGCTTTTAGGTTTCATCATAGCTGGGAAGCGCCATGCAGCATACAAGCTGCAGTATGACTGCTATCCTTGTGGTCTTGGGACTGACACCGTCAAATTCATCCTTGGCCTGAATGGACCCGGAAATTACGCAGAAATGGGTCGACTTATTCGCAAAATTACAGTAAGGATGTATTCTTCCATTCCTTCCTGAATCTTTTCGAACTGATGAGTGTAGAAGCGGGTAGAGAAGAATTCCACCCCTAGTCCCGAGCTGCAACGAAAATACTCTGAGATGGGGTTCTGCGAACTTGATGTCCCGAAGAAGCCCGCGGATTGATATTGCTTGTCGTACAAGGTGCAAGGCGCAGCAGCTATTCAAAATAGCAACCTCGGGCACTTGGTCGAAAGCGGTGCGTGCTGACACCGTATTACCCGAGAGTCTAAGGCTTTTGTTGTGTCTAGGGGCCAAACCTCCGCTCCGCCATGTCGAACTCGACCCTCATCAATTCCCGGGTCTGGTCCAGCGCGGTTGTGGAATCGTGGACAACCAAACTGAGGCGCCAATCCGTTGCCAAGAATTGGGCGCCTGTCTATGGGTTGGCTTGGAGACTTAAACGTTATTTAGCGCTAGGCGCTCGTATGCAATCAATACGCAGATATGCGGCGCACACCAGATGCAGACGCATGAAAGGTTCGCCTCGAAAGTGTTGTCTCGGACCGTCGTACCGCGAGTTAGGAAGCATCAAGTTTTCCGTGTGGGTTCCGAGCTCGAGGCGGTTCGACCTCGACATTCAGCAGAGGGGGGTTTGGCTACAGCTTTCTACTCTTGAATGAAATTTTTGTAGAAGACCCAGGCGTCGACGTATTCCTCTCCCGTTCCATCCTTCTTTTTGAGTCGCCCAGCTTGAGGGATACGGCCTGCTTTCGTGAATCCGAGCTTCTCCCATAGCCTGAGTGAGCCGATAGGTTTATAAATCATAACCAATGAATCAGCAGCAAGGAACGCACCTCACGGACGCGGTGTTGTTGACGTAGACAAGGTTGAAGACGCTGCCGTGATAGCCCAGGCGCGGGGCGTAATGGACATAGGACCTCGACAAGGCAGATCCACATCCCGATCCACGTTGCTTTGGAGGTACGATGAATCCGGCATTACAAATCTGGGGATGAAAGCAGATGAGCATTCGATCTGTCGTTGTCGTCGACGAGAGTATACAACTCACATGGGAAGACCGTCCTGGATAATTGGGCTTAACCTGCAGATACAAAGGGAAAAAAAGAAAGAGTCAGATCGTGTCGGCCACATCGCACTTCTGAACCCATCATCAGCGCAAATGGAAGTATGCACGTACGTAGTAGCAGCCCGCGACCGCTTCCTCCCAGGTCCTCCCATCCCTTTCAGCGTCGATATCTGTCGCCTGGTGCTCTCCATCGACCACATCCGCCCTCGGCGACTTGCCGATAATCCCGATGAAGGCATCGGCAGCGAAGAAATACGCCTCGAACGCCCCCTGGGTCAGCGGTTCCTCCTGCGGGTAGGTCATTCCATCTTCCACCACCCGGGCGAATACGTCCCTCAGGTATTCGATGAGGCCTGGTAGGGCCCGTGCTGTCGTGAGCGTCAGGTGGTAGATGCTGATATGGATGGGAGTCGAGGTCGAGTCTGCGCCAGTAGTGCTAGGCCGGCTGGCAACCCATATCGTCGATGGTAGAGGTGCGGGGGAAGTGCGAGTTGTGGTCGACATGTTTTTGTTGCGATGGTGTCTGGAATTTGGAAATGATCGTCAGTGACTGATCTGAATAATCGGGTTTTTTATCTACCTCGAGGCTCGGACTTCGCGACCACTTGGCCGACTGCCTTCTAATACGGAGTACGCGGTTAGTCTACTTCCTTTCCTTCCTCCCCTGGTACCGCGGTGTTGCGATCTATAAAATCGGAAATCGGAAAATGAAAAAAATGGAAAATAATGAAGCATCTCAAGGATTAGGGGTATTATGATAGAATTGAGCGTAAAGATACAAACAAATCCTGGATATTGAGGAGCAGTAGAGAAGGAGGCCTGTCCCAAATGCAACCGATCTAGGGGGGAATAAATATAAGATGCCAACGACAGGACAAGAGCTAAGCAAACGATGTGCGTGCGACATATATGTGAGTAACGGGAGGAGGGGCGGGTGTTTGAAAGAACGGCGGAAAACGAATGAACAATCATTAATCAGTATCGGAGCGTCCTCTACTTGCTCTGCACCACCTTACTACCCGATGTCTAGGTCGGGTTCCTTGAGGCCTTCGAGCCAAGTACATTGGTTGATGGCTTGGATATGTTTGCCTCCACCGCCTCCTCAGTCAGACCTGCCTCTCCCAACCCCGGCGGGGAATGAACCTGCAACTGGGCTCCAGCCATCCTCCGGCCCTCTCTGATCGCCACGAATGAGGCTGGCAATCGAGGCAGTATGTCGGTGGCCACCCCTTCCTCTTGATGGTGCTGTTCCATTCGGCTTCTTGCCAGTAGGTGCATCGTGCACTAACGGCGGGAAGGACGTCGCACCCGGTACGGGCGAGCGATACGTGATATCCACCTCTTCATCGTCTGAGCTCGGCTCGCTGACGGCGTCAAACTCACGTGCCGAGAGCATCATCCCACCACGTCCAGGGTCTTCTAGGTCGTAAACGTCGTACTTGCTCCTCGTGCCAGTGTTAAGATTGGGTGGGGGTGTAAGTGCTGCGGGCCCGCGTAGCTCGTCGGGAAGGAAGAAGTAGAAGCTTGCGATGGCGAGGCAGGCGCCGCCAACGACGTCGATAAGGTAATGGTGGGTGAGGTACATCGTCGCCCAGTACAGGACGCCGGCGTACGCCCAGACGTAGCGTGTTGTTTGCGGGAAGAAGTGGGAGAGGAAGAGGGCTTCGAGCGTCGCGTTGCCCGCATGGAGGGACGGAAAGGCGCCGAACACGAGCGGCGAGTTGGTGAACCCGATCGTGTACCCCTGTGAGTGGAATAGAGCATCGATGCGCGCGAGCCCGCCTGGCGAGCCCTTCATGCCATAGTTGGCCGGCGTCAGCCCGTGGATGAGCTCGTACCACGGCGGCGAGCACGGCAGTACGAGCTGGATCAGCACTCCCGCGAGGTTCATATACCCGAACGTGCGGGCCCACAGGTGCAGCATATCCTTGCGGCGAAACAGCCACAGGAAAGCGGCTACGACGAAGGGGAAGGTGAAATGGACGACGCCGTACGGAAACCATGCGACGATATCGAGCACCGGGTGGGTGAAGCGGGTGAGGATGTCGGATATGTTGGCGCCGTACAACACGGACTCGAGCGTTGGAAGTAGTGATACCGACACTGCTGGCCGCCAACTCGTTGGCGTGAACCGCGATGAGTAGAAGGTGAGCAGCCAGGCGAATACTGGTGTCGCAGGGATGAAGAACTGGCTCGTCAGCGGCACCAGCAGAGCGATGGCGTACAATATTGGGATTATGAGCTTGTAGGGAAATGGCGGCATCTGCATTAGCGTCAACCACAGCGTGGCGAGGGCGATGTGGAAGACGTAGACGCTGTCGGAGATCGTGAAGGTGTGCGCCCGCAGTCGCTGGATAGTGACGGAGGGGGAGAGGGACTTGTCGAGCCTCGCCACGCCGGCGACGAAAGCATTGGAGATGTCGGAGAATGTGCGGGCGACGAAGCCACGCTGTCGGGGAGCAGTGGACATCGTGATAGATGGCGAAGAGAGCTGCTTGCTCATCGCCAAAGACGTTGGCAAGCCGTGGGAATGTTGTGAAATTATTTGTCATCCGGGCCGCTCAGATTTCGTAACCCTCCTGACGACCATGCCTTTCTCCCAAAGCGCTTTGTTCCAATGATTTATGCTCTTAAAGTCCCTTGAAAAAGCGAGCGGAATGCATTTCATCTTTTCTACCCTCCTCTACCCCCAGTGCCACCCTCGAGCCCTCTATGCACTCAACCAATCATCAATCATCTCAGAATCACCGAAACCCAATCGCACAGGGGAGCGGCAGATATTGCTACACAGCTGGTCTGAAGAATACTCTGGTAACAGCCACCAGGCCGATGATTCTGGGCGACTCTCTCGCTCACAATCGATCCGGAAACGACCACTTGACATGGATTTCCGGGCCTCCCCCAACCCCGCTTCCTAGTTCATCCAAGGATCAGGTTCCTCGTCTCTCTACCAGCGTCAAGAATGCGGAAAAAACCCTTGAGCGCCCGGTTACGCAACGGAAAATTGTAGAGCTCCCTCCCTGCCCTTCTTTCCAAGAAATTCGGCGATCGGATGCCATCCAGTGGCCATCGACTCCACCGAAGAAAGAACCACTCTTCCTCCCTTGTACGCCGAGCCCCGAACAAGAACCCGTATCCAGTCGACACCCCATATTCGGCCCGATTGGATTTCCTCTCTGTGGCCTGCCGTCTCAATTAACGGTTGAATCTGAAGGGACGAATGATTCTCTGAATTCCTCTAACGGCGACGAACTATTTACGTCTCGACCCGTTCGGAAGGGCCCAACAAAAAGAGATGTCCGTCAGTATATGAGCAGAGTCGTAGAGAAGGTCAGCGACGACGTCTACAATCTGCTTGGCAACGAAAGTGGTTGTTCCACGGATCCCTGGATTCTTTCACTCACGAACGCCGGCGACGCTGAGTATACCTGCTGGCTCCTTCTGCGGGATAGCCCACTTACCCAACACAAGCTCGCTATCCAACTTATCAAACTGGGCATTCCTTTCCGCACGCTTCTGCCTCTTGCGAAGCCTTTCCCACCTGTCGGACATCGACTTCGGCAGATGGTAAGCATGGACTACGTTGGCTATGAAGCCTACAATGCGCGTTGCAGAAGAACGCTCTATTCATCGGCAGCCGTCATGCGAACTGCCCTGCTCCGCGGTGGGATCATCTCCCGCATCGCTCAACTCGCATATAAAAATGAGATTTTCGAGAGCGCCACAAACGGGCCTTCGGAGGAGGCTTCTGCTGGCCGGGTTCGATATCACATTTCTCCTCCAAATTCATCCAAATCTATGACGAAAAGGGCTTACTGGGACGATGATCTCACGAAGCAGGAGATGCACATCATCTGCGGAGTGTATGCCAAGGGTTCAGGTTTGTCTTGTTTTATTCTCGCGCTAGTCGTACCATTTACTGAGCCTTTTCACTGTTTCCAGTCTGGCCAACCCCTCTGGAGTGGGACGAAATCACTGCCGGACGCAGAAACCATTGTTGGACGAAATATGACGAGAAATGGTTTCTTAGTCACGTCGAGAAGCTCAAAACAGGCCGAATATCAATATTGGAGAGGAAGAGGGGCGTTCGTGATTGGGAGGAGATGATCTGGAAACATGTAGATGTTCCGGTAGATGTTCCAGAGGGATCCCAGGGTAGTATTCGGTAGCCCTCGTCTACATAAAAGCAGCTGTGCGACCAACTTCAGCCTGTTTTTCAGTCATGCTAGCACGGAAAAGCTTAATTAACTTGCCCACCAGAGCGAAGAACAGATAATTCTCATTTCGCAATTTCAGTTCAATTGGGTACGCGTCGGGAATCTGAATTTATTAATAACAAAAACTACTATCAGCCGCACAAAAATCTTCTTTGCAGTTTGAATACGTTCTAGATCTGTGCTGCGGCCGCCCAAGTGCAATTACCAGGCCAGAGAGGTCTCCTACCTTCTATCTGTAACCCTGCCGGGCCCGCGACAGCGAACCTCCCCTGCCCTTAATCAACCCGGTTCCGAAGGACCACAGAGCCAAGCTATAGTAATACGGTGAGCAGACCACATAGCAAGCGAGGTGTTCAAGACATACCAGAGCAAGCCGTGCATCCGTACTTCGCTGCCACTCGACTTGATCGTCAAACGCCTTTTTCAACTTCTCCATCCCATTTCGTAAATCCTCGTGTT